AAAAAGTCGAGCGCGCTGTCTTACGGACAGCTCTTGTTGTAATTGTGATGTCATGAAAGTATACCTGTAGTGTTCAAATTGGTAAAGGCATTAATTGAGTAATTTGTGACCATCTCCGACTATTGTTGACCAAATTTGACCATTTCTCACCATCCCTGACTATTTCTGACCCTTTCTGGCCAACTCTGACCATTTCCGACAAACTTTGACCATTTCTTAGACCAACTCTGACTATTTCTGACCAACTTTAACCAAGTTTGACCATTTCTTACCAACTCTGACCATATCTGAGCAGCTTTGACCATTTCTGACCAACTTTGACCATTTCTAACCAACTTCGACCATTTCTGACCAACTCTGACCTCTGAAGATATACAAAGAGTGAAATAAACTAAATACTTTTGACATTGTATGTTAAAACACCCTGATATATCAGTGAAGTTAATATACAAAAAGTGAAGTATACAAAAAGTGAAGTATTAACTTCAATAACACAAATATTATTTGTTAAATACAAAAACAACCATCACTGGCAATCCTGTAAAGTGTAGAAAATCATGCCATTCTGTCATTCTGACAAGCAGGATAAAATTTTGAGCAAGACATCTCCTCTTTTACAGAAAGTTGTATATCTGAAATTCAATGACTATAGCTTAGGTATAGAAAAAAACTATGCCTTCAAAATCTTTCTGCCAATCTCTGCAGCAAAGAAGGCAATTATGGCCGCCACAATGCAGCATTTCTGAAAAAACAAAAAGATACTTGGATTTTATGACAATCAGACTATTTATAAGAAAAACAATGGGTCTCTTGGGATTGAAAATAGAAACACACTTAAACAAGTAATGAAGATCTGCCTATAACAGATAAGGTGCATTATGTCTTTAGTCAAGTTGTATAAATGCCAGGGCTGTTTTGATATATTTGTATGCATTTTGGGTTTGATTTTTTTTTGCTTATTTCTTGTATTATAATCATTGCTATGGTATAATGTATGTATATATGTATGTTCAAGTGATTGTGTGCATTTTAGGTCTTTATCTTCTGTTTCATATTTGTCACTTCATTTTTACAGCTTTATGAGTAAAAGGGCCTTCCATATATAAAAAAACAACGACAGCAACAAAATAAAACAAAAACAACAAAATGAAAAATGCTCTTTTTTTTTCTTAAATAAAGAAAATGTTCATTTAATTTTTAGATTCTTTTTTGTTGGGAAAGTTAGGAGCAATGATAAAATACTTTTAGGATATCAAAGTATATTATATAGATTTTTCGACTAACAATTTTGAAAGTTATGTTTGACTTGAAAAAATGGCATAAATTGTTGAATTATAATAAATCAAAACTGTTGGAATTGTTTCTTTAAAGTAACAAAAAAAATGGTTTTATCTTACTCCACATTATTTGCACTCACCACAATTCACCACACACAAAAATCAAATATTGAAAACACATTATTTTCACATGCTGATGTGACTTACATTTTTAGCTCACCATGGTCACACAGTGAGTTTTTGTGGTGGCAATGTATGTGTGGCTTGTTGGCCATTGTCAAAAATGGTCCTGCCAAGCAGGATTTATACATATGTGATATTTATATAGTGAACATGTAAAAACAACAATGCCAAAAACAACAATGCCAAAAACAACAATGCCAACAGCATAGATATTTGGTATGAAGTATTTTGTAGTGGACAGCTACAAACAATTAAAGAAAATATGCAGCTTTGGTAAAAAATTACGCACCTAAATAGCCTTATTACCTTCTTCTGCTACATTTGAGAAGTGTTAACTTTTCAAGCAATATGTCTCAGGTGAGGGATTCAGGGCCATCTTGGCTCTCTTGTTTACAGAATATCTTTCAGTAGTTCTCCAGTAGCAAGTTTTAAAGATTTTGTTCCATATTGGCATCTCAAAAGTTCAACACAGGCTCTAACTTTGGTCTGAAATAGTGGCTATAGGGGCACTGTACAATATACCTGTTTACAGTTTTCCTCTTCTACTAGTTAAATAAGCTTGGAAGTTACCTTATAACTATAGCTGTTCTTTAAACCAGCAAAAACTCAAAATAATTACAAATAACCTTGTATTAGAAAAGAAAAAAAAATAAGCAACAACTAAAAAAACACACACTTGAAAAGTAAAAACAACCACATACTTCAAAAACTCAATTAAAGTACCAAAAAAATAAAAACCTACAAAAAATCACATGGTTCCAAATAGTTTTTGTTCACTTTTTAATTTCATTATTGCAGATTTTCTTTCCTTAACTATTTATTCCTGTACTATTGTTCTTATTTTATACCATCATTACGTTATGAATGGGAGCACTAAATTCTTTCTTAAATTACCTTGTATCATTTTGACTGGAATAATTTCCAACTAGCAATGCAGTTTGTTAATTAAATCTGAAAAAATATGTGTTTGCCGACTATTTTGGAGATTAAATCTTTATATATTTGGCATATAGTTGTATTTCCCAAGGCACATGTTTAAATTAATCATCAGTTATAAAAACTGTATTTCTAGGATAATTCTTTCCTTCTGCCAAAACAATCCACTTTATTATAGACACCCTGTAAATAAATATATCACCCAAACAATATTTTGCATATTTCTTTCCATACTTTGAATAATGCAAAATGAATAATGTATAAGATGTACAAGCAGTTATCTTGTTTAAATTCAGTAAACTTTTGCCACTTAAACATTTAAGATGATTTCAGTAAGATTTGGTTTCTCCAGGTGACGTAGATGCTTTCCTCAAGGTCATATTGATGCTGGATTGAACTTTATTCATAGTTTTATAATTGCTTTATCAAACTTTTTGCTCTTGGTCACACAAGTGCTTAATAAGCTTCAATCCTAGTCCTAGTTTATTGAATTTTGCTCCTGGTCATGTTGATGCTTGATTGAGCTTTGTTCATGGTCAAATTGATGATTTATTGAGCTTTGCTCCTGGTCATGTTGATGCTTCATTAAGTTTTTCTCTTGATCACAGGGATGATTGATTGAGCTTTTGTTATGTTTATATTGATGCTTTAATGAATTTTATTTGATGCTTGATTGAACTTTATTCATCGTCTTATAAATGATTGACTGAGCTCTGTTCATGGTCATATTGATGCTTGATTGAGCTTTGTTCATGGTCACATTGAGGCATAATTAAGCTTTGCTCCTGGTTGTTCTGATGCTTGATTGAGCTTTGCTCATTGACATATTAATGCTTTATTGAGCTTTGCGCCTGGTCATATTGATGCTTTATTGAGCTTTGTTCATGGTCATATTGATGCATTATACAGCTTTGTTCATTGTCATATTGATGCTTTATTGAGCTCTGTTCATGGTCATATTGATGCTTTATTGAGCTCTGTTCATGGTCATATTGATGCTTTATTGAGCTTTGTTCATGGTCATATTGATGCATTATTGAGCTTTGTTCATGGTCATATTGATGCTTTATTGAGCTCTGTTAATGGTCATATTGATGCTTTATTGAGCTCTGTTCATGGTCATATTGATGCTTGATTTGAGCTTTCCTCCTGGTTGGTTTTGATGATTGATTGAGCTTTAGACTGGTCACATTGATACTTGTTTAAGCTTACATGCTCTCATATTGATGTGTGGCGGATATATTAAAAGTTACAGAAAGTGAAGTCTTCTGATTGTTCCCAACTTATGGATGACCTTTTCTTAATATTTAAACCCATATTGTTCCTGGTTCCCATATTCTATTGCATATAATTTTGCATACCTGCCTGACTGAATAGATCCTACATATATAAAACAATCTTTGCTACATATAAATTGCACCAGATCCATCCATTTACATCAAATAAAGCACTTTAGGTCATTTGAACATCTATGAGTTCATTAGTGAAATCATGTTACATATACAGTTGAACAAAATATTTTTTAATTGAAATAATTTTGTGTACTGACTTAATTTTAATAAAAAGTTTTCTTACTTTTAACTATGTTAAAATTTGTGTTATAGTCACGTTTTTCTTTAAATTTGAAACTTTCAATGGTTACGTAAATAAAGAATTTTTATTTTTTCAACATCAAAAAGCTTTAATTGAGCAGCTGTCAACAAAAAGTTAGGCCGTAATCCATGTACGTGTAGTGTCATATGGTTTTAGTATTTTGTGACATAGGCCTAACATTATTGCAGGGGAAACTTGAAAAACATTGTTTAAAAATTATTTGTATCGTTCAAAAAGTAATTTTGTCTGTGTGAAGGGTGAGTGGGATGTCTACTAACACAATTTTGCTTGGTAATTTGGTAGCTTACTGACAAAATAATGTCAGATTTGCCGAGTGCAGTTCTCACTTTCTTTTAGTACTGCTTTTCTTTCTTTTAAGATTTTTTTAATTTAATTTAATAAAATAACGATACTTTATTTGTTTTAACATTTGAGCCGTGTCACGACAAAACCAACAAAATGGGTTTGCAACCAGCATGGATCCAGACCAGCCTGCGCATCTGTGCAGTCTGATCAGGATCCATGCAGTTCGCTATCAGTTTCTCTACTTGTAATAGGGTTTGTAAGTGAACAGCATGGATCCTGATCAGACTGCGCGGATGCGCAGGCTGGTCTGGATCCATGCTGGTCGCGAACCCATTATGTTGGTTTTGTCATGGCGCGGCTCATTTTACTCATTGCAGATTTGTTTTACACTTCTAGCTTGCTTTTAAATTTTTAAAAAAATATTAACTCGTAAGATTTTGTTAAGATCTTTTTATTTTAATTTTTTTTACAAAAGTTTATGTTAAATCTGAAAGTTTATCTATTTCTGAATCTATTTTCATCATAAATTTCTGTCTTCATTTATTTAAGTTAATTTAGATATAAAGTTAAAAACTTATTTTGACACCTATGACATCTTATTTTCTAAGTCAATTTCACCACATACATGTGTATTATAATAATACAATTCTCTTACAATTTTTATGTTCAAGGGAAGTAACTCTAAATTGTATGGTTTTTTTGCAGCAAGGGAGACAATTATTGATTGGTGCTGTTGGAAGCTGGTATTGGCAAGGTAAAAATACTGTACCAAAAACTAACTTCTTTAAACTGCTCATAGGGATCAGTTTAAAAGGAGAATTATTTAGGTTTATTACAAAGTTTAACACATGTATAATATTTATATCAGAATTTGTTCAAAGATCATGTTTATTTCATGTATAATTTTTTAGGAAATGAAAAATAGGAGAAAATTTTTTACGAATTTTAACACTTACCTGGTATATAATATTGGATATATATAAATTTAGCTTAACAAAGATAATGTTCTATTTCAAAGTATATTTTTTATGAAATGAAACATAACAATTAAAATAGTGTAAATTTATAGAATATTAAAACTTTAAAAGTTTGCTCTTGATGTCATTCAGGCATAATAAGATATTAAATGCTTTACTTATTAGCCTTTAAGTGCGATTCTTTATGGGTCAAAATTGTTGTTGGATTTCTTGAACATTTGTGCAATTGTCTTAATATTTAAAGTATTATAATAAAGTTTCTTTACTTCTTTATCAGAAAAAAAAAACAACAACAAAAAAAAACAAAAAAATATTTTCATCACAAGTAGTATAAGTATTTCCATTACTTTTTCTATACAGGTCAAATTTTCAACTTCAACTTTGAAAATGGCCCAGGACGTTACCAAGCAACAAAAGAAGGAAGGGCCAGGGATGATTACTCTTATATGGGTACGGACTATTCATAGTTTTTGGTCCCCTAATAATTACGATAACTTGACTATTCATGGTTTCGGTCCCCTTAGAATTATGATAACTTGATTGTTCGTGGTTTTATGTCCCCTTAGAATTATGATAACTTGATTATTCATGGTTTCTGGTCCCCTTAGAATTATGATAACTTGATTATTCATGGTTTCAGTGTCCCCTTTGAATTATGATAACTTGATTATTCACAGTTTCAGGTCCCCTTAGAATTATGATAACTTGATTATTCATGGTTTTGGGTCCCCTTAGAATTATGATAACTTGATTATTCATGGTTTTGGGTCCCCTTAGAATTATGATTACTTGATTGTTCATGGTTTTATGTCCCCTTAGAATTATGATAACCTAATTAATCATGGTTTCTGGTCCCCTAAGAATTATGATAACTTGATTATTCACAGTTTTATGTCCCCTTAGAATTATGATAACCTAATTATTCATGGTTTCTGGTCCCCTTAGAATTATGATAACTTGATTATTCATGGTTTTATGTCCCCTTAGAATTATGATTACTTGATTATTCATGGTTTCTGGTCCCCTTAAAATTATGATAACTTGAGTATTCATGGTTTCCAGTCCCCTGAGAATTATGATTACTTGATTATTCATGGTTTCAGGTCCCCTTAGAATTATGATAACTTGATTATTCATAGTTTCAGTGTCCCCTTAGAATTATGATAACTTGATTATTCATTGTTTCTGGTCCCCCAACAATTATGATAACTCCCAGGCCAGACTTCCTGTTGATGCTTATCTCACTGATGTTTGAAGCTTTATTATCTTGTTTAAACACCATGTCATATTTCTGAAAAAACACCTGTCTATTCTAATAAACTACTATCAAAACAGGTGATTGACTTGAAGATTCTATTTTTGAAATTTGGAACAGGTGAAAAATGAATCTCCCAATGAATGGGTAAATATAATTATGTTATTATGTTATATTTTAGGATTTTCGAGTGCTGTTGGCAACTTTGATTCCGATGACAAAGAAGGTATGTCAAGTTTTTACAGTAAATACACAGTTATGTCTCTTTAATCACAAAACCCTTGTGGCTGAGGGGTCAATTGCCTTTAAGGGTCGAGTCATCAGAATTGCAGTCACCAGTTATCACTTTGTGATCGAAAGGGGAGACGAAATGGGTTGGAATTACTTGAGTCTATGCATCTCTTAAGTCCAGCAGGTGAGGTGGTTTTGACCCCTGATGTTGCTTTAAGTTTGTAACACCAGAGGTTAGCCAAAATCATCTTTCCTGTTTCAGCAGTATGAGCTGAATTGTGTTTGTGCACCGTAAAACCAAACCAGTTAAATCTTTATTTACAAGCACCTTGCCTCGTTTCCGCCTCCTTTCTGATGTTTTTTTTATTTCTACTATAAGGAAAAAGAATTGTTTTACTCACTTTTTCAGTGCATTGTTGCTATTATCTATGATCATTGTTAATTATTACCTCAATCTAGGTGAGGATTTTGCACAAATTTCTGAAAGCTTGTATGTTTATGTATGTACAAATATTAATCTGAACTCAAAGCTTAGGCTTAAGTCCCGATATCAACACATAAGGCTTAGGCCTAAGTCCTGAAAATTGAAGTTACCATCCCAGCTGAGCCAGTTTCTGATAGATTATGCAGCTAATGGTATTTATAGACTTAATAATGCCAACACATCTCGTAACATGAATTATTCCGCAGTAAAATCGCTGGTGAGAAAATGGTTACCAAAAGTAAAAAAAAAATTTTTATATGAAGATAGGTTATTGTATTTGTTGTTTCTGCTCACAAAAAGCTGTTTTATTGAATTAAGATGGTGCAGATAGTAGACTGTGTTTTGTTAGATAGATTGCAAAAAAAATGTCTCAAATCTTGGAATTCAATTACCCCTGTTTTCTGGCACAGGGATTCCACTTGATTTATTAGATGAAGTTTTTTTAGGCATCAGCAAAGAATTTAAAGTTTGTTATATATATACTGACCTGGAATTTAATGTAATTTAGCTTACAGTCAAACTTGTGCAAAAAGAACTCTTTTTAAAATTTGCTGAAGATGGAAATGATCAATAGTTTGTATTGTTGCGTTTGTTTTTAATTTGCTTGAAATATTGCTCAAAAAGGGCACCTGAGGTCTTCCTTCACCAGTAAAGCCGGAATGTGGCTTAATGACCTTCACAGGGTTGGTGTGACTTTAAAACAAACAAACAGAACATATTAATATAGAAACCACATCTGTAATATAGATTGTTATGGTTTGCTGAGTTTCATTGTAATAATAAGAATTTAAGACATATTTATATCTCTAACTGGTCTTTTTATTGAGGTTTAACTGTATGTTTCTTCTCTCTTTTTTTTAGATGTCATTTAGAAAAGTGACCCTGAGGTTTAAACAAACGTGATATGATCATTATAAAAATTTTTTACTTAAACTTTCCTTCAAAACAGTATTGTTTTTTTTTCTGAATGACATCTTTCTCTCTGTTTGTGCTGAAATTCTGTTTCTATCAAAGTACATTCAGCACAAGTCAACTATGATATAAGTACTTAGGCGTTGTTATCTTATTGTCTGCAGTTTGTCTGTAGAAGAAATGGAACATTGTGCTAAATTTTTATTTTAGAGTTTTCTTTCAGACATTTTCCTCTATTCCTATGTATAATTCAAAGATTGAGTTTAAAAGTCATGATATTTTTACATTTATCCTATGTACATGTATTTTAACCAAGGTCAATATTGAAGCGTCCTTGGCTGAGTGGGTAAGGTCGTTGACTTCAAACCACTTGTCCCTCACAGCTTTGGGTTCGAATCTTGGCAGGGACTTTGGATTCTTTCATGTGAGGAAGCTATCCAGCTCTAAGCTTACTGAACGTCGGTAGTGCTACTCAAGTGCCCGTTGACGTGCCTGAAAAATGCACGGAAGGGTACCTGAGGTCTTCCTCCACCAGTAAAGCTGGAACATCGCCATATGACCTATACTGTGTCGGTGTGAGGTAAAACCCAAACAAACAAACAAAGGTCAATATATAGGATTATTTTGTAACAAAGCAATGATTGCATTTTATTGTTTTACAATTTAAATACAATGTACAAACAAACTTACATTGACATATATGGTAAACCAGGTCTATTGTCGACTGTAGAATATTGTCTGTATAAGTATATGTGTTAATCATTATTTACAGATTATGTTGTCGGTGTACCTAGAGGGCGCCAGTTACAGGGAAAAGTTGTCATTTATACACAAAACCTTACATTGATCAAAACTATAAAAGGGGAACAGGTTAGTTTTATATATTCCAGATACTTAAAACAATAAATTTTGTAGTTCTTATTACATCATAATGTCAGCACTCACATGTATCAGTGCTATACACTGGGCATGTAAAAGAACCAAGGGATCTATTCAATAAGAGCTAGGGACTGGTTCCCGGATTCCCTTGTATCTCATAGCTGTCTAGTGTGTGCTGAGGTGAGGACCCAACTGGAAATAAGTGCTTGCACTTTCGTAGGCTATCCTTGACCGCTGGGTCTTAAGAAAATCACAGTGTACGAGTTCATTTGTTAGTCTACCTTCACCTGACCCATGCTTGTTGTTCATGGGGTTATTTTTGCTGTCATAATTATACTGGATATATTGAAATATATCTGTGCAGTCTAAAAAAATCTCTATACCGTTGCATATTATTTTAACAAAAAAATAATAGACTGTTCATAATTCTAAAAAAGCTTGTTGTAGAATTTCGTCACATACTTGTGCTCCTTTTGTGACTGTAAAAATGGTATTGAAAGGCCATGTTAGTCATTTGGGTTATACAAAGTGTAAAGATGTGCTTAATGTTAGGGTTACACTATAGGCGCGTCAATGAAAAATGATCCATTTTTGCTTTAAACAGTCTTTATTTTGGGAGTGTGTTAAATAGAATATTAAATTCGTGTAAGTTCATCACTGAATTTATTGAACTTGTTGAATAAAATAATGTTACGCTCACCTGAGGCTTGTATAATATGATTTTATCCTACTTGTTCAATAAATTCAATATTGAACTTAAACTCATTCAATATTGTCAATTTAGCAGATAACGAGTTAATTGATGTTGTTATAAAGGTTTATGTAGGTGTCAAAAATTTTTCTACAAATCATGATTGTTGTTCTCATTATTCCCTACTGTTAATCACTTGCCACAAAAAAATAAAGGTATGTACAACAACAACAGCTGATGAACCCTTGCCTGTCAGTAATGAGAATTCCACACAATTCTCTGCTAAATTAATAGTTTATAGTTAAAGTTGTTTAGATATGTGTAAATTTTCCTGGCTTTTAGTGAAACACATTTGTGTTGCAAATGTTGGTAGTGACCTGTACCATGTTACTATATTCATTTTAAATTGCTTAAAGGCACATTATGGTTCAGAAATGAATACATTTTTACTTCTTTCAAAACGGCAAAAATGGGTCTTATATCGTTAAAATAATGATCTAAGAAGTATTATGTATGGAAGTCAAAAAACTACTTTGTTTACATTTTGCTACATTTATGACAAATAGTTTCACATTTAGTGCTACTTTCTGCAGATAACAAACATCTTACGTAATCTTAAAGCATGATTTAAATTATATAAAACTCATTTTTGCCCTTTTGAAAAGAAGTAAAAATTTATTCGTATTAACTTGAAACCTTCTATTTTTAAAATGGATAGAAACCAAAATGTACATTTTATTAGATAAAGGCTGCACAATAAAATTCTTTTTTAAGTTTTAAGTTCAAGCATACCTGTTCAGAATGTAATAAAAGATTGCCTTTTGGGTAGTCTTAGTGTAAAAATAGATTTGACATAAAACAGAAGGAATTTACCTGTTTCATATATCAGATCCAAGAAATATTAACTGAGATAAATATTGATGTATGAATTACAGATAGGGTTCCATGTTTTTTATGAATTGAGAAAATTTTGATAATGTTTTGTCTATCATGGATGGAGCATGACTCCTATAAAGTTCAATTTCTTGTCTTTTAACCTGTAAGTTTGGGCTATGAGGGTAACCCTTCCATTCCTACCTGCCTCTAAATCACGGGGGAGGAAGTGTTACACGAAGGATGGAGTTCTTATGATAACTTGTTTGGAGTTCTTATGATAACTGTCACGGAGTTCCAGGAAAACGTTACGGATTTCTGTGGAAAACTTTTCTATATACTTGGAGAACTCGCGTAAATAATGGTTATTTTTAACTTTAAATGGGGAGTTTGAGGTGCTTAATTTAACTTTGATAATTAAGCTTGCCCTACATATTGTATTTTGTTTCAGAAAAAAATATTTTAGTCAATATTTCGTCGCCTTGTTAAAAAAAATCTGGTAGTTTTGAGAAAAATTACCAAATTACTTGCTAATTCGTACATATTGACCTTTTCATTTGTGATCTTCTTCGTTGCTATACATAATCACCTAATTATTATGGAGAGTTGCAAACATAAAGCCAAGGCTAATAAATTTATACCCGATTTTTTAAATGTTACGGAGTTCTTGTGATAACTCAAAATATGTCCTGGAGTTCTTATGATAACTTTTGTTACTGCCAGTATGTTTTTGTGCTTAATCACGGCATGTTTAAGCGTATTTTATTAGTCAATAAGTGTGTAAATCATTATGAAGCATAGTACGCTTATCATTTGCACAAAAATTTGGTTATATAACGTTGGTTTTGATCGTGTTTTTCAGTTCAATAGATATTTTTCTTACCTCCGTTTCTTGTGTTTTTTTTGTGTTTGTTTTGGTCTTTTTGTGTGTGTTTGTGTGTTTTTTTATTTTATTGGAATGACTGTAAACATACTTGATGTAGAGCATTTACTTACAGGATAAATTGACGCTTTGAATTTAATACTCAAGCATGATTTCGTCATATACTAGTATACATTATTCCTGGCAGTTTTAGAGAACATTTAGAACAATTTCTAAAAGGTATCAGTTTTTTGTCATAGAAACGTATAAAGTTCTATGACAATGATATGACGATAGAAAGTAAGTCTTCAATAAGATATGTGAGTCACCGTAAGGTTCATGCCGTTTATCGACCTTGTTCCTTTCTCTATTAAATCCAATGTAGCATCACGTGACGTACAGCAATCTCCATATTTCGGAAAATTACTGCATACATTTTTCTTATCAAAGTTGGAGTCCTAGTTGTGGAAATTTTGCAACAACTTTTGCTGTAATTGATTTACAAAAATATATTGTCGAACTTCTTTCGCTCGAACCCGTAGGGCACGTGCAAATCTGTCGAAGAGATCGGTAGTAATCGGTTGATTTTTTATGCATAAAAAGATCATACATTTCGGGTGCATGGGTGTGAAGGGTATCCCGGTTACATACGATACATGGTATATTATGATACAATTTACTTAGCCGCTTTTGAGCCCAACTACTTATTGTCTGCTTTAGAAAGGCGGTTGCTTAAAACATGTAACTGAGAAAAATGGTAAGTTTTAACAATTTTTCCTTGGCGGTTTAAGCCATGTTACTGCTGAATACAGGTGACCGCTGATTCAGGTTTTCCTGAAGATTTTTGTTTGTTTGTTTCATTTTACGCCTTTTCCCAACAGTATTTCAGTCATATGGGCGGGTAGTTTCCTAACCATCGTTCCTGGAGAGTTACACCAGTACTAGACTACCTTCCTCCGTGCTAAACTACCAAAGCATCTCCCGGGGATCGAACCCACGTCAGAGAGGTAACTGGATTAGAAGTCATCGATTCAAACCCCTCGACCACGGAGGCGGTCGTTCCTGAAGATAGCTTATCACCTGTTTATCCTATATAGACTGTACACCAAAAGCAGTTTCATGTCTTCTCCAGATATATTGAATGATCGTGTTTTAATTTTGCCACATGGCCTCAATGTTGCATTTGCGGAAACTTATGACATAAAACTTTTGTTGACGAACATTATACACAGAAATATTTAGTGCATTCGTTGGGTTTTATAATGTCAATATGATTTCGCACAAATTTAATTAGGAACTAAAACACGATCAAAACCAACGTTATATAACCAAATTTTTGTGCAAATGATAAGCGTACTATGCTTCATAATGATTTATACACTTATTGACTAATAAAATACGCTTAAATGTGCCGTAATTAAGCAAGAAACACACTGGCAGTACCAAAAGTTATCATAAGAACTCCAGGACATATTTTGAGTTATCACAAGAACTCCGTAACATTAGAAAAATTGGGTATACATTTATTAGCCCGGGCTTTATGTTTGCAACTCTCCACTATAATTAGGTGATTATGTATAGCAACGAAGAAGATCACAAATGAAAATGTCAATATGTACGAATTAGCAAATAATTTGGAAATTTTTCTCAAAACTACCAGATTTTTTTTTAAACGGCGACGAAATATGGACTAAAAGATTTTTTCTGAAACATAATTCAATATGTAGGGCAAGCTTAATTATCAAAGTTTAATTTAGCACCTCAAACTCCCCATTTAAAGTTAAAAATAACCATTATTTACGCGAGTTCTCCAAGTATATAGAAAGATTTCCACAGAAATCCGTAACGTTTTCCAGGAACTCCGTGACAGTTATCATAAGAACTCCAAACAAGTTATCATAAGAACTCCATCCTTCGTGTAACACTTCCTCCCCCGTGTAAATGGTTACTGTGAAATTTGGTGGTTTGTCGCAAAGAACATTTTCGTGGGTTCTTAAAATTTGTGGACCGTTTATTTTCCAAATGGTAAAATGTAAATAATGTGATGCAAAAATAATCTTACAACAAAATGGTCTCGGTTAAGGTCCGAGCAATTGAAGGACCAGTTGACCCACACTGCTGTGGGTTCGAATCCCGACAGGGACTTAGGATTCTTACATGTGAGGAAGGTATCCAGCTCGCTTACAGATCAATGATGATAACTACTCAGGTGCCTGTTCATGCCTGAAATTATGCATAGAGGAGAACTTGTGGTCCTTCACAGTAGGGGGTCCGTACTCTCAGTGCCTTAAGGAGGGGAATGCCCTCATATTAAACTTAGGACATACACACCTTCACGAGTAGAGCTGGAAAGTCGCCATATGACATACAACGTAAAATCAAACTTAAAAAAGTAGATACACAACACAAAATATACCAGGGTTCCATTACAATAAATAATAAGTAATTTATTGTGCTAAATCTCAGTTTATTACCATCTTCTATAATATAAATAAATTTCATGGAATCCTCATTTCTCACCTATGCCTGCAGATAATAATTGTTCAAGCAGAGTCAGGTAGGATAAGAAATAAACAATGGCAAAACCTTTTAGTCAGCTACCTGGATCACTTTGGCAACAAGTTTTATTTATAGACTGATGAAGGATGAGTGTACTGGAATATAAAAAAATGGAGGGAAGGAAAATAAGAAAGTGATGTTTTTCCCTTGTCTGCCATTCAACTGTAAATTAATGATTTCTAAGTATATGTGTTTTTTTGGTTACTGTTTGGCAATGGGTACATTTTAGTCATTCCATGTTTTGTAGTGTAAAGTTTTTGATGAGTCATTATGACATGCTGTGTTACACAATTTGTTTTTTTATAGACTGTGTATTCTTTTTATAAAAAAATGTTTGTTTATAAGGTAAAATAAAGTTATTTTGAGATCCAGTCTAATTAGGTCTTGTTCCTGTCTTTTTTATAAGAACAGAAAATATTTTATTCATAAAAAAAGGAATTGAACACCATTCTTCTTCCATACATGTATACAATTCAACAAAGGTCAATATATATGTACATTTTGTATGTAAATATATACATTGTATTGAAAATTTCACACACACAAAAATAATGGTGAATTTCTAGTTTTCAGCGACCAACAAACATAATCATGGTAAATAATTTTGTATTTGTAAGCTCTTGGTATCTGGGCAATTTCATTTCATTTAGAATTATTAAAATTGTTCTTAACTGACATAATAAACAAAAGAAAATTCATGAGATTGTATGAAATGACATTAATAAACTCTTAAATGAGTTTAAAAAGTAGTTAAAGAACTTTATTTTTAGGTCATTGACTTTAAACCACTTGCCTTTCCCCATTGTAAGTTCAAGCCAAGCCAGCGCCTTCGGATGCTTTCATGTGAGAAAGCTATCCAGCTAGCTTGTTGAAAGTTGAAAGTTCTACTCAGATGCATGTTTGTGCCTGAAATAATAGACAGAGGGGCACCTGAAATCTTTTTCCACCAGTATAGCTGGAAAGTGGCCGTATGACCTATAATTTGCTGGTTCGGCAAAAAAACCAACTCAAAAAATCCTCTAAAAATTTTTCTCATGAAAATTATAAAGATATAAACAAGAGAGTCAGTGTGTAATAAAAGAGGGGGTTTTTATATGTACTATCAATAACTTGGAAGTTTTTGATGCAGATAAAATGCCAAAAAATGATATTTTTTGCTGTAAGATATAACGGTTGATGCCAGAATAAGACAAATATAATGTTTAACTTTAATAAAATCACTGTAAAACATCTGTGATAAATCAAGAAATGCTACATAACTTCTTGATTTAAAGTAAAGGAAGCATGCCGTAGAAAAAGGTAAAACATTTCATGTATGTTTTTTCGAGAAACTTGCATTTTTCGATACATACCATATGTACTCTGTTGAGGCTACACTCCCTGTAAAAAGCCACTTGTCCATACATATATACATGTAGATTTATCAGTTATTGACATTGGTAATTAAATTTGATGTTTTTACAGAAAATATTTCAGAAAACGAAGTGAAAATTAGGATTTCACAAAGAAATTTCATATGACATGGCAATAATGCCAGCACTAAATGATTTCATATGAAAGTAATGCCAGCACCAAATGATTTCATGTAATGGCAGTGATGCCAGCACTTGATGATTTCATTTGACTTAGCAGTAATGCCAGCACTAAATGATTTCATATGACATGGCAGTAATGCCAGCACTTAGTGATTTCATATGACATGGCAGTAATGCCAGCACTAAATGATTTCATATGACATGGCAGTAATTCCAGCACCAAACAATTTAATATAACATGGCAGTAATGCCAGCACTAAATGATTTCATATGACATGGCAGTAATGCCAGCACTTAGTGATTTCATATGACATGGCAGTAATGCCAGCACTAAATGATTTCATATGACATGGCAGTAATGCTTCATATGACATAACAGTAATGCCAGCACTAAATGATTTCACAGGACATGGCAGTAATGCAAGCACTAAACAATTTCATATAGCATGGCAGCAATGCAAGCACTAAGTTATGATTTTGTAATTAAATATCAGTATAAAAGATTTTACCATAATCTCTTTACAATTTCAGTTTGGCTCATACTTTGGATACTCTGTAGCAGTTACAGATCTTGATGGGAACGGGTAAGTTTGATTGGCTAAAATACTAAATTCATATGAAATGAATATGGTAGTAATTTGCCTAGAAAAGTTTATGATGAAGACACAAAATCATTTCCATTGTAAATGGATGAAACTGTACTTAATTTTTTTGTTCCAGAACATTTTATAATGTTGACATACAAATATTCATGCATGTTAAATAACAGAGACAATTTTATGTTAAAACTCTTTCGAGAATAAACCATGAGATTATGGAACCAACATAATATTACTGTTGATAAATTTTAATTAAAATATAATTCATGAGATATAGCTTTATACCCTTTAAAATCCTTATAGCAACACTAGATATTTAGTTCCCTGTCATAAAAGAATATCTAAAGTCATTGGTAGGAGAGGATGTTCATGTTTTTATATCATTTTAGTTAAAACATTTTGATAATGTTTTATGTTTTATAATGAATTAATATAATTATAAAATATTTTTATTATTTACAGGTTGGATGATATCGTTGTGGGAGCACCTTTTTTCTCGGACTTTAGTACAGATAACTCTTATGAAACTGGCAGGGTCTACATTTTCTATCAAATGGCAAAGGTATATTATATTTTACATAGTGGTTTTAATACTTCCCTCCTTTGATTTTAATAATGAACAAAACAAATGGATGTTGTGTTAGAATAGATATTCTATGTTTTTTTAATTATTTTGCAAAGGCGTTTTGACTTACATGGTCTGCCTACTTAGTACAATAGGGAGATCATCACTCAGATTTGTTCACTGCTATAGCTTCAAGACACGCAAGCATTTTCAAATTTTTTCATGTGGGAAAGTTATCCAGCTAGCTTACGGAACGTTGGTGGCTCTACTCAGGTGTCCATTTATGCCTGAAATAAGCACAGAGGGGCACCTTAGGGCTTCCTCAACCAGTAAGGCTAAAAGGTTGCCATTAATATGACCTATACTGTGTTGATGCAACAATTAACCCAATCCCAAAAAAATCATATTTGTAAACCCCAGGTGTGTTTGTATGACCCACAGGCAAGGCAAAATTTCTATGACATTGATGTATTGTGTCCATGTCCCTCATTGCTGACTAAGAAATCATGTGGGATTAGCAGTTGGTCACTTGTGTTATTACTGGTTGTTTATCCAGGAAAATCAGTTTGCTGAACCGACTGTGGAAATATGACTGAGGATGTGTTGAAATTTGCTTAAAAACCCAGAAAAACAAGCAACTCTGCCTCTGACACAGTAAATTATATTAAGTAAACAAAAATTGAAGAAGTGTACGTTTTTAGCTGTATTTTTTGTGTGTGTGTGAATTCAAAATTTTTGATTTAGAATTACACCATATTTACAAAATGATTTGTGATAAGTTAGACTTTTATACATAGTTTGAATTTAGATTGATATAGGAAAGTTCTCTGCTAAAAAATAATTGATAAATTCTGCATATGTTTTGAATATATAGGTCAATGGGTCATTGGTAAGTCTACAATGCACTGTTATAGCGTGTGCAAATGCACTTTTTTCTGCAGTTTCTTTTTTCAAGGCACGAATTTTGTTTAAAACATGTTCAACTGTTTTTTATGCTATGTTAAAGTAACATTTTGCAAGTCATTTTCAGATGAGAAACTCAGAAAAAGCTGTGTTTTTAAAAAACAAACAATCAATTTTATGTTCAGTGAACATCCATTTTTTTGTATAAAAATGCATTTATGTTTTCTTATTGTTTTGTTTCTACTGAAAAATGACTTACAAGATTTTTCGTACATATATTGATAGATTTGTTATCAATTTATGGATTTGAAATTATGTCAGAAAGTGAGTTACATAGACAAGAGTACTTACCTGTAAGACTGACATCTTTGATCCACGTATAAGACGGCAAATACACTTTTGTCTTTAAAATGGAAGAAAAAATCCTCGTCTTATAATTGAGGAAGTATGCTATATACTTTATAATACTTAACATTTGTAACATCAAATTTCATTGGATAATCGTGACATTTATATAATCAATAATGTTTATAAACCACTTCTATGTATTTATAAATTATTTTTCAATTTTTCCTCAAATAAAGTTGTGGTGTATTATAAATTTGTTATAAAGATGACAGACAAGTTATATGGTTATATGGCCCTTGCTTTGCGGGTTTTGTTATATATGCTTACATCCATTGATATTTGGCCATATAACTTTTTAGATTTTTTTTTTTTTAAATGATTATATAAGTTAGGATGATTTTTTTTTTTAATGATTATATAATTATATAGGTTCATTGATGGTTATATTTATAGTTAATTGCATTGCTTATAATAATGCACCATTATTCAGCGGCCATATAACAGAGAGGGTTTTATATTCTCGGTAATAAAATATTCATGTTTCAAAAATGATTTGAGCCGCGTCACGCTGAAAGCAACATAATGAGTTTGCGACCAGCATGGATCCAGACTAGCCTGAGCATCCGTGCAGTCTGATCAGGATCCATGCTGTTCGCTATCAGTTTCTCTACTTGTAATAGGGTTGGTTAGCGAACAGCATGGATCCTCGAATCAGACTGCGTGAATGCGCAGGCTGGTCAGGATCCATGCTTGTCTCAAACCCATTATGTTGGTTTTGTTGTGACACAGCTCAATTTTATTGCTTTCTGTTTTGCAATATATTCAATATAGGTCAAAAGCTTTCCTTAAAATTTATAACTTGAAATAGAATCAGCTTTTTGATATAAACAAACAAAGTGAATGGTTTTAGAAATGCAGTTTTTTTGTTCAACCATTTGTTGAATTTTTATCTATCTTTTCTACTGACACTTTTACTAATAAAACTTTTACTAATAAAAGTAGAAATTATAACTCAAAAATATTTTAGTCTTTTAATATGAATGTTTTGAAGACTGTGTGATTTAAAGGGACTCCACTAAGGTGAAAAAAGCCTATAAACATAAATTTTAAAATTCTTACATAGGTCAAGTGAAGCACTTTAATGATAAAATCCGTAAAAGAAAATAAAGAAATTTTCTCAGAATTAAATTGAATATTGATTTTTCGTGTGATTCTTTAAGTCAGATGTGAGTGAAAAGCGTTTTCATTTTTGAGTCATTTTGCACAGCAAAAATGATTTTTCTGGAAAAACAGGGATAATGAATGATCAACAAGTTATAGGTCCAGACCTACATTAAACTGTATACAAATCTAGGAAAAATATTTCCAGCCGGCTGGTCATGTCAAAAAACTTCAGTGAAGTCCCTTTAATACAACTTTTAGAAACACTCCAGTATAAATGGTTTGTGAAGCATTCAAAGATATTTTGTAATGAACTTACAGGAGTCATTTAAATTTTAATATTAAGAAAGTGGACTTTAGCTCGAAATAATCATAACAATATTACACAGACTGGTTATAAGATTGACTAATATTTTATTTAATATAGACTGTATTTGTTTCTGTATTTAAACACAGTCTGGTATATCGCAGAAGAAGAAGAAGGATATAATAGATGGACATGATTCGCAGTCTAGATTTGGTCTCGCTGTGGCGGCCATCGGAGACGTGGATTATGATGGGTATAATGGTAAGTCGTGAAATACAAAGGTATAAAGTATAAAATTAATGTTGCGACAGCCACCACAAAATCATGGATATATTTATAGAAATCAAAAGTTGTATAGATAAAGATATAAAATAAGTTTTATCACATGAGCCACAGCAAAGGAATGCAATAAATCCATTCAATAAAAATTGATATTACACTAGTGTAATAACACTTTGACGTGATGTCATTTGCCAGAGGCTTGCATAATATAATTTTATTCAACTCATTCAATAAAAACAGTATTAAATCTACACTTGTTCAATAACCTCTATAAAATTTTGATATTGTGCATCAAGTAACAACAAAGATAAATGATATTCAGTATGGATATATTGTAGGCACCGACCCGATAAGGTCTATATGTCACCAGAAAAATTATTTTTAATACATAAGCTTATTGCAGAGTCATAATTTATGTATTTAAACCTGGCTAGAATTGTTTTAGTCAAGAAAAGATAAAAGTTAAAAAAGAAGTGATGTACAATGAATAATGCCATTTAAGTTTACATATCGATTGAACAGTATCAATAAACAGGGGCTCAACAAACATGTGTTTCAAGTTTCTCCTACATTTGAATTTTTTCTTAGTAAAATATATTTTTCCCTACAGACATAGCTATAGGTGCCCCGTACGGTGGTAAGGATGGACGAGGTGTGGTCTATATTTACCATGGTTCGATGAAAGGAATCATTACAGACGTACAACAGGTAGGTAGTACCTTTATACCTTTACAAATGTTTGTTATTTTAATTTGATCATCCTGTTTCATTGGCATTGGTTTAAACATTTATTTAAGCTCGATTGCGAAACAAGTTCTTGCAACTTATATTAATCACTTTCTAGTCAGCTTCCTGGAACCAACCAGTACTGGTGCCATATGAAGAATCATATGAGAGGCAGAAACCTTTACCACTAGGCCACCACTCCCATTCTTTGGAATAAAGAATGATACCAACTGTAATTTTCTATCCCATGATTTGATTTGTGATTACAAATAATGCATATGTAGTAAATGAATAAAACTTATATTTATTGCACCATTAACAAGTTTAATATATTAAAAGGACTTGTCCATCTTAATATGTAGACAAAACCTTTCCGCATTTTGAGGAAAAATTTCAAAATATTTATTGACTGAATAGTGAACAGTGCAGACTATGATTAGATAGCATGGGTGTGGTCTGCACTAATCATATGGTCAAGATTCAGTTGTGGCCCGTAGGCTTAGGGCTAACCTAAAAGACTTGTAACAAGCAAAATTAATGTTTAAATTTTGGGTGATGATGTGTTGATGAATTTAATTACAAAACAAGTATTATTTAATACTTATGTTCACAAATGTTCACAAGAGGAAAAGCTTTTTATGTTTTGATCTTTAGGGATTCAGTTTTTCACTATTTTAAATGAGAAGAGCACTTTCTTTCTATCCTGAACTATCTTTTTCCTATCACTTTATCCTGAACAATTTCAGGTTTATATCAAATTATTTAACAATGCAGTGTACATGTTGTTAGTTGAGTACATTTAGCTGAAGTGATCAAGTTTATATGACTGTTATATAGCGTTTGTTTAGCCAAATAATAGGGTGTAAGTCAAAGACTGGAGTTTATATAATGAAACATAATGATTCCTGATATATTTATACTATAATAATTGATATATTACAGGCCATCAAAGCTGATGATGTACTATCAGGGACGGAGACATTTGGTTGGTCAATTGCTGGCGGGATAGATATGGATGATAATGAATACCCGGATATCCTAGTTGGTGCTTATAACTCCAATAAAGCAGCTTTCCTCAGGTATATATTGAAATATTGTACTGTCACATGACTGTATTTTCTGACATTTTATTTGTATTGTTTATGAATATTGTAAAAAGTCAATGCATATTGCTATTATTTTGTGGTGGTTTATGGGAAAAGCGGTTAAATATAAGCCTTTTCCCAAGAAACAAAACTGTTGAAAATACATCAGACTTCACTAGTTTGATATGAATTGCACATTAGTAGTAGCTGGTTGCCATTATGAAATCTATATTGTGCCAAGCAAGTAAGACTTATTAAAAAGATTGCATAGTTTCATCCTAGGTCTTGCTATACTTTTCTTTGTAACAAATTTAAAGACGTTAATTTCCAATTTATGGTATCACAATTTTATCATTTTTCAGGAGCCGTCCTGTTGTTAGAGTGACACCCACTATAAGAATAGATCCACAAGATATAACGCTCGGACCAGAAAATGAAAAATGTGTGATTGGTGATGAAATGGCTACATGGTAAGTTATTGTATTGTTTGATTTGTGTAACATAAAAACACTTTTAAATGTGCAATCATGAACCTTGGAAAATTGACTTGTCATGATATGGCTTAGTTGTAAGACCAAGGGCATTAATTTGAAAGTTATATTTTTGGAGTTGTGTGACTTATGTCCCTTTCGTAGCTTAGTTTTTTTGTTAAAATTGGTTGTTAAATAGGTTTTCAATTGAGAAGTTATGTGCATAACAGTTGTTAAAACGTAATATCATTGAATATGTTTGTTTTAGCTTAAGCTTTTAAGAGAGCAAGCATTGAGACTGCATGAGGGGCTTTCCTTCTTTGTTTTATATTATTCACAGAGTAATTGTTTTATAGTGGCAGCATGGCCTAGTGGTTAATGTGTCAGACAAGTAATCTAAGGGTTGCTATCTGATTGAGTTCAAACCCAGTAATAGACAAGCTGTTGTTTCCTTTAGCAAGAAACTTTACACTGATTGCTCAGTACTGGTTGGTTTTAGGAACGGATTCCAGAGTTTTTCTATAAGCTCATATCCTGCTGCACAATCGAACTAAAATAAATTTGTATAAACCAACTGTTTTATATTTTCGACAGTGTAACAGTCTATACCTGTGTACTATATGCTGGCATTGGAGTACCCGGAAAGCTAGATTTTGAGGTGAAACTCAAGTTTGATTCATTGAAGAATGACACGAGTCGTGTTTATTTTATCAATGCAAGAACGAAACGTGAAGAAAAGAAAACTATTGAAGTGTTTAAGGACAGGCAAAAGTGCTTCTCTTTCTTTGGATATTTAGTGGTAAGATATGAAATGTCGGATTTGAGATTTTTTTATTATTTAAAAAATTCATTTGCTTAGATTTATTAATAGGGTTTCAAGACATATTATCATACAGATGGGGGTAAGAAGAGGTGCTTGTAGTTTTAACTTATAATCTTTATCTGAAACAATCAGATCTTCTTGCTTCCAAATGCTGGAGCAAGTGTTTTATCAAAATTCTTATTACATAAAGTTTTCAAATAATAGCACTAAGAAATAAGCTCTCGGGTAGGCTTTTTTTTCTTTTAAGTATCCTCTAAGTTAAACTCTTTTCTTTTTTTTATTTCAGAAAAATGTACGAGACAAATTGACACCCATTGTCGCCAAGTTCAGTTTTGACATAATTGAAAGGAAGTCTAGACAAAGACGCGAGGTGCAGCCAATATTAAACATGCGTATTCCGACTACCGTCACAGCTTCCGTAAGAAATTCAATTATCTCCCTTGATCTTAAATGATAATATGAGGGCTAAAATTATATTATTATAACTCCATGATTTTGTTGAATTTTAGCTGAATAGGGAGAGCATTCATTTTGTAATTAAATGGTTGCTGGTTTGATCCTTTGATGGGGTGAAGTTTTTCTATGATGACTGATCTCTGACATTCTCCAGAAAAGAAAATGTTCCGCAGAATACACATTATTGTGTTGTCAGCATATTGGCAGTGTGGAAAATTTTTCTAACATTCATTATTTTAACCAGTAGTTTCCAGATTAAGATTAGAAAAAATTGTAAAAGTTTTGTGATATTTATAAAAGGAATTTTGCTTTTTTATTTCAGGCCAACATTAGTAAGAATTGTGGTAAAGATAATGTATGTATACCAGATCTGTCTGTCACAGCCATGCAGTAAGTGATTTCTTAATTTATAATTTTAAATTCCTTAGTCTCTTCTTCCATCCTTTAATCAGGTATTTGGTCTGCTATTAGGTTAAACAGTGTTTCTGCCAGAGCGCGTTTTTGCGTTTTTGGCGCACTTTTTTCGGCCATGACGCAATGAAATTTAGTTAGTGCGTATTTTGTGACGCAAGATTTTCACCGTCGTTGATTTCAACACGAGTCGGATATACAGACTATAAACCGTCAATTCAGTATAAAAATGTACGGAATGTTTTCCGTGGGCTCCACTATAATTTTAATGAGAAATGAAATTTACCGAGTCCGTGGTCCGGCATTTAGCCAATTTCAACTTGTTAATAAACGCTTGCTTTTATACGATACTGCATATATTGAAAGCGCCCAGACAAAATTATTTATTTTGTTGTCGTCATATTCCGCGAACGAATGGAAAAAATGTCGTCTGCTCCAAAACAGCGGAGATTAACTAATTTTTTTACGCAAAACACACAAAATATTGTTGTTCATGACCAAAAAGAAGAATCAGATAAAAAAAATGTTGACAATGACCCTAATCCCCCGAAAGAAAAACAATCCATTACAAAAGTAAAAGTTGATCGTGAATTTCGTAAAGAATGGCTAACAAAATATCCATGGCTTTTGTATGAAAGTAACAAAATGACATGCAACATTTGCATCAGTGAGGGCAAAGACAATCCCTTTACAAGTGGTTGTACAAATTTTTCGCCATTCCACACTTGTTAGACATTTATCATCCAATCAGCACAGAGCCGCTGTGGAGGCCACGTCTTTGCGGAGAAGTATGAGTAAACAGACTTCTAGCATCATTTCTAAGCACTATGAAGCAGCCACAGGGGTGATGAAGTCTGTATACTGGCTTGCAAAAGAACAACTGCCAACATCTAAACATAAATCGCTGTTGCAGTTGCAAAAATTACAAGGGTGTAATTTTGTTGATGATATACTGGTGAATAAATTGACAAAAATAACTTTTTAAAAATATAACACAAAAACAAGTATTTAACAATATTTTATTCACATATAGTTGAACAACATGTTGGTACATATAAATCAAAATCAACTTTACAATAGCATGCTAACTGTAGGGCCTCTATAGATAAATTAATATAGGCTACATCAGAAAGGATAACTAGAAAGGATAACTAACTAGTTTTCTGTGCAAATAATATAACATGCAATAATTAGAATGTAGAAATAAATACAATAATAATATATATATTTAGAATTATAAAGAAAAAAAACAACAATGAAATATAAAAAATGTTTATTAGTTTTATTATAAATTTCATATTTACAATTTGACTTATGACTTAGAGTCACTGTAATTTAAAATTAAAAATGCAAAGTAATTATTCCTCTTGATCTTTTTAAGGTTGGTACAGCTACATACAGCTCAGATTCTGCTGCTGAAGAAATGCAAGATGCAATGGCCAGTGTTCTCCAAGATTCTTTAGATGACAAACTTTCTTCTAGTCCATTTGTTTCTATAATGCTGGATGAAAGCTGTGATATTTCTGTCAAGAAGAAACTACTTCTCTATGCAAAATCAGTCAATGAAAACTTTGACATTGAAACACATTTTGTAGACAATGTACAAATTCCAGATGGAACTGCAGATACTATTTTCAAAAATGTTCAATCAATACTGGACAGGCATAATGTTAAGTTTGAAAATGTCTTGGCTGTAGGTTCTGATGGAGCTTCAGTCATGACTGGTTCTAAGAATGGTTTTGTAGCATTGGTAAAAAGAAAAGTTTCACCATATGTCATAGGAGTTCATTGCATGGCACACAGGCTTGCCCTGTGTACCAGCCAAGCAGCTGATAAGGTAGCATACCTAAAAGATTACCAGAAAATTTTGTCTGATATCTTTTATCATTTTAAGAGGTCTGCTCTGCGTAGGGAGAAGGTTAAAGAAATTCAAGTTTTACTTGAAGAGCCCCAGTTACAGTATAAAGAGCTTCACAGTGTGAGATGGTTCTCAATGTATGCTGCCTTAGAAGCAGTATATAGAACATGGGGTTCTCTTGCAACTTATTTTGAATCTGAAATGGAATCAAAAAATGATAGTGTAGCAAAGGGGTTCTTTAAAAAAATAACCACCTTTACATTTATTGCATGTACATATTTACTCATGGATATTATTCCAAAGGTAACACAACTCAGCATGTTCCTACAAAAGGATAATCTTGACCTTGCCATGATAAGACCCACTGTTGAAAGTGTTGTGCAACAACTTACATGGCTTAAAATAAATGATGGTACACACTTGTCTAAATTAATGTCAGTTGCATCACCTGAGAAACTAACTGAATTTAAGGGAGTCAGAGTCACTGACACACCAGTTTTTCGACAGCAATTTAAGAAAATACGTACACAGTTTTTGAACTGTTTGATTTTAGAGATAGAAAGAAGGTTCCCAGCTGAGGCAACTGACATTATATCAAATATGGCAGTATTGTGTCCAAGGGGTCTCTCCTTGCTATCTTTAGAAGACAGAAAGGAGTATGGAGCTAGTCAGATGAAGACCTTGGTGTCCTATTATGGTACTTGTAATTCTGACACATGGGTAGAACCTTTTATTGATGGCACTGAAGCTTTACTAGAGTGGGAAAAGTGTAAGGACCTTATTGTACAGCAAAGATATCCCTGTCACACTCTTCAGTCTATCTGGAAACTTCTGAGTGTTCAGCATCCTGGTGCTTTCCCCAATTTAGTAAAGCTTGCAATGGTAGCAGTCTTGGCCCCACTGCAGACTGCCACAGTTGAAAGGGGCTTTAGTGTTCAGAATAATATCAAAGGATCTGGAAGAAACAGGTTGTCTTCAGACAGACTTAATGTATTGATGAGAATCAGTTTGGGTCCAAATATTGAAAACTTTGAGTTTGCTAAGGCAGTGAACAAATGGAAAGAATCCAAAGAAAGACGCCTGTTCTCTGGCAAGAAGTAAAGTGCCTTAGAAAATAAAACTTATAAAGTGTTACCTGTTGTTCTTTACATTTTTGTTCAATTTATTGGCATGACCCTTATGAATTTGAAATGACCCCTAAAATTTAATACAGGGGGTCATAAAAGACCCTCAGAAAATCAGAGCTGGCAGAAACACTGGGTTAAATGTCTTTTTGTTAGATTTATGGTACTGTACTTCAGACTAAAGCCTTGCATTTAGGTCTTTGGTGCTTTAGTTAATAAGGACTTCGGACTTCTTCTAAAAACTGTATATATTTGTTTTATTTCCTTTATGAGTCAGGACTATATACACATTGCATGGATTTGTTCTGTATATTTTAGGACTTCAGATTTGTACATACTGTTTGGACTTGTATGTTGATTTTAGGACTATATAATTGTTCTGTTTTTAGGACTCGGGACTCATACACACTTGGTCAAGATGACAAGATTGAGATTCTAGTGTTTGTGGAGAACCGTGGAGAAGATGCATTTGAAGCTACACTAAATATAACATTTCCTCCTGGAGTTGAGTTTTATAAGAATAAAAATATAAAATATGTAAGTAAAACACTTAACATGCTAAATTTGTACTAGCCTGCTTTGAATTAAGAATTGTTTATTGGTCATGTAAGGGATTTTAATTTCAAAGAAATAACTTATTAACAGAGATTGAAAATTCCACTCGTCCGCTTGTAATTAAGAGTAGAATTTAAGAGAACTTGATGCTGGACAGGTAGAAAGATGTTGCCTGTACATTGGATTTAAAAGCTACTTGTCCTGCAGGACGAGTGACTCTGAAAATATTTTCGATGCCTGATTAATAAGTAAATCACCCAGTATAGAACATAGCTAGATCACACATAATAATATGTAGGCTAGCTTGGCTCTTTACTGGTAGAAAATATACATTGTATCTAATATGATGGCAGTTGGTGCTAAAAAAGATAGAGCTTATAGAATTAGACATTATTTCTTTAAATATTATCATCTTTTAAGTTGAATAAAAAATTAAAATGAACATGTGGTTTGTGTTTCCTTAATACTGTATTATTCATAAACTAAATATATAATTATATCCATTATAATAATATTGGAGGTGATTTTTTTAACCCTCAGACCTGTTTATAACACCATATAATGAGGACTTTGGAAAAAGGTGGTCCTTATTCACAAGGTTTCTCTTGAAAAAGGTGGATTTTACAGTCTGATAGTTTATACAAGTAAATATTGTGCTTATGTAGAGTAACTGTTCTTTTACTTAGAAATTATTGGCAACTAGATTTTTTTTTTACAGAAGAGACTTAAGACTTAAGGTGAAGGTTTTGCGTAACTTTGAAGGAATTTAAGTCTATGTAATTGATTTGAAACATTTGTTGTTTTTCCAGGAGATTCAAATGTCATGTTCAATATTTAGAAATGAGTCGTACATTCTTTGTGATCTTGGAAATCCATTACCAGCAAAATCTAGGGTAAGTCTATTTGGTACAAATACTTATTTAAATAGTAAACCAACTGCCTGTGAATTCAGAGATCAGGCAAGTTAGTTTTGCTGAGATTTGTCACATATTATATTCATATGCCGAGAGACAACACATTCTTTATTGAGTTAACTGTCATAATTATATCAAATTCTATTTATTATGTAGGTCTCTTTATGGGGTTACAGATTTTATTCTATTCACAAGTTTTGAGTGGAATTTACCAAAGCTATGGTACAACAGTTATTAGATTTAAGGCCTGAATTTAATTCAAATGTATTTTATGTGTGTTTATAGTGCCTGATATAATTCATGATAAAATCTTTTCTCTCTTAAAAATGATGCTGATCATTATTGGCATTGTAGTATGCTAGGTGTAAATAACTGCAACATATAATGTTGATGGTAGTCGTGGAGGAGTTATCTTTCTTATAAAACAAAACACCATTTATAAACATTAACATTTCACTGACTTTGTGAAAGGATCATTTATATTTAACCTTTTCGCTGCCACAGAGCTATTTATTTATTGATTACCTATTTGCAAGAAGGTTTTCTAAGAAATTACTATATTATTAATTAATATAATTATTATAATTTGTTATTAGTATTATAATAATTATATATGTTTCCAAATCTGCTAGTATATAATAATTGTCGATGGTATAATTATCTATATATTTATTATTATTATAATTATTGTTATTATAATTATTATTATTATTATTATAGAAATGACAAAAGTCGTCCATATGGCAAATACGCCGAAAATAATGACAGTGAAAGGGTTATTGACTTATATGACACATTAACCCATTACTGCATGAGCATTTTGTGAAAAATTGCTGTTTTCATTCAAAAGTATCCCGTAACAAGTTCAAATTGCTATAAAACTATAAAAATTGCTTCAATACTAATCAAACTTGGCACAAATGTTGACTGGACCATTGCCTTTGTAACAACATGTATCTTTTGGATAGGGGGCGGCGCTGAAAAAGTGGTCACTTTTTTAAACAACATTTCTCAAACAAAAACAAGTTTTGGGGGCCTAAATAAGACATTTTTTCCGATTTGATACACATCAAAAGGGGTGGGGGGTGAAAAAGGCATTTAAAGGTGTTGAAAAAGGCATTTAAAGGCGTGTACATCTGGTAATGGGTTAATTTATATTTTTCTTACTTTATGAAACAATCATTTAATTTCAAGCACTAAGACTATTTTATTACTTGGTGATATAATATTGTGAAAAGTAACGTTGTAGTTTCTACTTCAGCATTACATTATTACATATTATTATTGTATAAACTTAGTTTTTAGGTCTTTAGAAAGTTAACATGGATTACAGACAATTTTTCTGAGACAGTCTGCATTGTGACACTTATTGTGTCATGCACCCTGTATTGCGATACCCTGTACAATCACCTTAGTGCAGTAACAGAATAAGTCTTTATATAATTTGATAGGAGTTAATTAGTTTTTGCACTAAGGTGACAACATATGGTATCATGAGATTGTTTCACCCTTATGAAAGATACAATTTACTGACTAAATTTTGAATCTATACATGTACATGTATAATCATATTTTCCTGGCTGAGTAAACTGTTTATTTATATTTGCAGACCAACTTTACACTGATAGCTACTCCAAAATCTATCAATGATTCTGTTGCTGAGTTAATTCTAAAGCTACAAGTTAACAGGTATTATTTTTTTCTAATCTTTACTTTTTTTAAAGAAAAATTGGAGCTATTGCTGCAGTCACAGTATTTTTGAAGTCCAAATAAAATTGATCACATGTTTTATTATTTAATGGATTATTTTCATACTTAAAGATGACAACCCTTTAGACAAGACCTTTAAGTAGACCTTACTGAATGTATTATACTGATAGAAGGCTAGATTGAACTTGACCATGACCCATTAATGACCTTGACCTCAAAGGTCAAATTTATTGAATTCCCTTGTGGTTTTGGTGTAACTGAACTATCATCTTAATACTTGGACTTAACAATGTTTAGGAAATTTACCATAAAAAAGGTTGAATCTTAAATCTTAACAATAATAGCCTATGCACAAAATAAGTTGTTACAAAATGAAATGTTCATTTGATGATGTGTCAAGAATTTCTCTTTATTTTTTTTTTCAGTTCAAATGCAGAGAACATCACAGATGTGTCAAACAACTTGGTTTTTGTAAACATACCTATACAACAGAGAGCGAATCTAAGACTTGGAGGGTAAGTTAATAACATTATTATGATTAAAAAACATACCCAAAAAATACAGTATAAGACACTTGCAACGTTTTGATTAAGGTCACATATGTTAATGAAATTGAATGTCTATGGTAACTCTTCTGGAAGGGTCACTCTGTTAGCTTTACCAGCTCTACCAGTAAAAATACTTCAACAATTTTGTTACTTAACCAAAATGGTCACTTCTATGTCAAAACGACATCTTATTGCAGTGACGGGTTACGTTCTTATAAATTTAATAGGAGTTAACCAGTTATTGCACTGAGATGACAATAAGTGGTAAGGCTACCTTTGTTACCTCGTCTCATCTTTAGTAACTCTACAAGAAAGATCACTTATGTTAAGTTTCCAGTCATATTTTCATAAGAAAGGTAATCTTGGGCACATTACTGGAAATAAAAAAGGGTACATTGAACTGTTTTGATTAAATTAGCATTAATAGATTGAATCCTGAATTTATGAAAAGAAGACATCTGATTACTATGCCTTATTTCATTTACATTATGAACATAAAATAATGGAATCCTGAACTTAGGAATTTATGATAAAAAAGTATATAATTATAATGGTTTTATTTGAAGGACATCAAGGCCAGAACAGTACATATATTCAGAGAAGGCAGTTCGGTTATACAGGGGCTCGGCTGAGATAGGACCAGTGTTAGAACATGAATATGTTGTAAGTATAGCTTCCTGAGAGGTCTGGTACACACTTATTTAAATATGAAATTGTTGATTTTATATCTTAAGATTTAAGCTTGGACTAGTCTATGTGGGCATTGCATTTAACATTCCTAACTTATGGATATTTCCTACTTTTCGTGACAATGTTGATTAATGAAAAGTGAACAGTGCACAGTAATATTTTAATTATTAACTCTGACTGCTTACATAATATATTTCATTACTATGCCTGCTTACATATTTATATTTCATAATGTTTATATGATATTTGACTGTTACAGCACCATATTTGGTGGGTAAAATTAAATAAATATCTGTATACAGTCCTGCCAAATGGCACAGGAGGGATGGAAGCCCTCTCACATAATTATATTGTTAAAGGAACACAAGGGACATAATCATCTACTTGTGTTTTATTTTATTACAGTTAGAGAATCGTGGACCAAGTGGTGTGAAGACAAGTCTGTTAAAGATAGAATGGCCCGGTGAAGACGAGAATGGGCTGAAGTTTCTTGAAATGATTGACAAACCTATCGAGTCCAGGACTGATATTAGCTGCCGTGTTTATAATACATCGGTAAGATATCATTCTTTAGTTATTCCTGACACCCATTAATTTGTTTAATGAATTAATCCCGATTTGAAGTTTCTTGAATTGATTGGCAAGCCTATCGAATCCAGGACCGATATTAGCTGCCGTGTTTATAATACATCGGTAAGATATCATTCTTAAGTTAATCCAGACACCCCTTAATTTGTTTAATGAACTTATCCTGATTAGAATTTGGAATCCTCCAATGTTATAATTTAGGGGGGTGGGGTGGTATCAAAATGTTAAAATTCTCTAGCAGATAGTATAGAGTAGTGTTAGACTGTAAGGAAGTGCTTGTAGGCTCTGTGCAGGCAAGTTATCTTGAACTTACTGTCAGAAAGTTGAAGTAAAAAAAATTTGAAATGCTCTTTTATCCTGAATTTGGGAAAGAAGATATTTATAAACCAAATAATAATATTCATTACAGTGGTATGATACTATGAAGTTTTTTTTTTTTCATAAAAGAAAATTCAAGAACTAGTATCATAGAGTAATTTGGAGTTGCCTTTTTACATTTACAAAATTAGTGATAGCACAATTTTAGAGGACAAAGTAATTATTTTTTAGAATGTATTTTTACTTTAGGAAGATGAAAATGGAAATGAAACTGTAAGTCTGTGGTCACATCAAATTTTGTAAACACTCTTGTCTGTATCATAACTGAATATATTTATCTTTTGCAGTTTTACATATATATCATGCTTTCTGCACATTTATACCTTTATTGAATTATTATCTATCTTATTTATTATTTTATATGTACTTTTCATGTTTCTCATGTTTATTTTTTAATTCTTCCTTCACTATTACAAACTTAAGCTATTTGTGTTTTTATGCTTTACTTCTTTCAATACTTCACATTTACTCTAGAACTTAAAGAAAACTTTTCTAAATATTAACATGTATATCTGCGGGTTTTAAGTAAAACTGTTCAACATGATAAATTTAAAGAATCCTTTGAACTTGAAGATCATGAACTAGAAGAAATCAACTGAATTCAATGAAATTGAAGAATTCATATAATTTTACTCAATAAACTTAAAAGAATAGCTTTAACTGAAAGAATCAGTGTTCACTAAGAAATCAACTGAATTGAATGAACTTTCTGAATTAATATGAACTCAATAAACTTTAAAAAAAAAAAATGGAAAAAATTTAGAAAAAATAAAATCTTGATGGAAAATATTACATGATGGATTCATCTTTTAAAGATATTTAGCAAAGTAAATGGTTAATTTATGTTTTATCTGAAGTATACTTTCCTTTCATTTTGCCAAGAATAATATTGATTAGTAAATCCAATATGTATTATTTTAGGTAACTACATACTCTGATACCAACGGTAATAATCCCGTCATCGTTCAACAGAGAAATGTCGGCACGGAGAATCAATTAAAACGTCATACAAGGGAGACAACTGATGATAGCGATGATGATAATAATGTAGAAAAACGCGACGTGGAAAAACGATCTAGCAAAGAGTTGAAAAGAGTCGTAAGTGATCTGAAATTGTAATAACATTGTGTCTAAGAAAAATTGTTTCAAATGAATATCTAAATTGTTGGTATATCTTTTGTGATATCAACCATAGAAAAGTAATTGCCACAATCTTTCAAAAAAATTGAATGCTACTGATAAATTTTAAAGGAGTCTCATTTACAGAAATATCCATGGAACTTGTGGATTATTGATTATATTTGATTTTTGCATAGTAAAATATAATTTTGAACACTATCATGGTAAAATGTAAAGTTATTTTGACTTTTACCAGTGCACTCATCATTTACACTCGGATTGGCATAATGTCAAACAAAAGTTTCTTCGCATCCAGCCATTGTTATTGTCTTATTTAAGAAAAACTTATTACTAAGGATTTGCTGTTTTTCACCTGCAATGTTGTCATACTGCAGTATGTCCCTTAACTGACAAAACATTGGAATGTGTGGGCATTCTAAAGCCACATTTGTAGTTTTACTTTATAATTGCAATGAGTAAACTAATAAATTATGTCACATTATAAGTAAATGTATATATGAATATTACAGGGGTGTGTAACTGGTAAAGCAGGGTGCGTGTTTGTACAATGTACTATAGGATATATGGAACCTAAAGACACTGTTAGTATTAAAATAAGATCTAGAGTATGGACGACCACTCTAATAAGTGTAAGTACAATTTACCTTTATCATGTAAGTTTGAATATAGAAATCAACTCCAGTTTCAATTAAAAAATGTAATTTATTAATTTATTTTGTATTAATCATATAATTCAAACATTATTATTACAGGGCCAATCATTTTGTATGTTGTGTAATTATGTTGATGTAAAAGAATTAATGTACAAATTTATATAAATTATTATTTTACGTTATATCATATAATTCAAATATTATTACAGGGCAAATCCTTTTGTATGTTGTGTAATTATGTTGATGTAAAAAAATTAATGTATATAAATTGTATATTGTGTAATTATGTTGATGTGAAAGAATTTATATATATTTATATGATGCAATAAAATATTAGTAAACTAAAAAAAGAAACTCAAACATTTCAACAAAAGTTACCTTTTCTACTGTTACAATATATAATGAACAACAACTTATATATTTTTGATAAAATTTTAAAAACAACATTTTGGTTAGAACAAACAAACAAAATGGCTTATGTTGTTACCACATGGTAAATATATCAATGATAATTGCTATATCTTTGATCACTGTATTTTGAACAATGGTGCATTGTGAATCTGTTATAACCAACGATTTAGATTGGATAAACCAATTTGCCAAGTTTGGGTTGACGTCTATTTAAGAATTTGGAAATAGAAAAATTATTTACATTAACAATGAACAGTTCCAATTTTAACACAGGATAACACCCCCTCTCCCCCCTCTCCCCCCCTCAATTATACAGACTTGGCATAGTAAGTAAGGGTCAACAGTGAACAACATTCAGTCATTGCAATTGCCCAGAGTATTAATTTTTGTTCTTGACTCTGAATTTTAAGTTTACAACTTTTCATTTCTTTTCGTTTTTAGAAAAATTTTGCAGCCCCGTTTTACTTTGTAAGTAAAGGTACAGCAGAGGTTTTGTCAATGCCTTATACCAATATGAAAGTTGCGACAGGCACTTATACAAAGACAACATTTGATGTAAGTATTGTACTTCATAGTGTTTAAAGGTACAGGCCCCAATAAGCATGTATGGGAGCAATTATAATATGACATGTTCGCAAGTATGTCTTGTTGGACGTAAAATGACTATGATAGAATGCATGTTAACAGGGACTAAATTTGTGTAAGATTTGGCAGAAGTAGTAATTAGAAAAATTAAAAGAAGGAAAACAACAAAATTTCTAAGATAACATTGAGATAAGTTATCATATCTTGACATTTTTATGTAGTTTTTCAATTTTATTTATTTGAAGACTATAACTATAGAAGCAACACTTTCAAATCTGATAAATGAATTTCTACATATTGAAGTTACAGCATATGTCATGGTATATAGTTTAATTGAACTGTTCACTAATTGGACAGGAAATGCTTGAGTGGCTAAATACAAAGTAGTTAAACTATAAGAAGGATTGTAAATTTCCAAGTAATGCAGATTGACCATGCACAAAATCATCACTAAACCTGTGTGCAAAATACTTAGTTAAATACATTATTCTGGAACATTTTATTCTTGGTATATTTATTATGTACATGTATAAATTATAATTATGATGTTACACTTCAGGTTACAACATACGTAAATCCAGAAAAATTACATCCTAAACGTAGAGGTATAGAGGCATGGATCATCGCAGTAGCAGTTTCAGCAGGGTTACTTCTTCTTTTCTTACTTATTGTTCTTCTTTGGTGGGTAAGTATACTTTAAATAAGGTTTATCATAGTATATTATTATTGACTTAGTAGCTATGACTTGACCATTGCCATAGATTGCTCTTTTTTCCCACTGGAGTATACAATTTTACAAATACAGATTCTTTAATGTAAGGAAGCTTACGGAATGTCAGTAGTTTTACTTAGGTGCATGTTTGTACCTGAAATAATGTACAGAGGGGCACGGCGCCTGAGGTCTTTCCCCACCAGTAAAGCTGGAAAGTTGCCATATGACCTTTATAGAGTTGATGCAATATAAAACCCAACAATTGTCCTAGAGTTATTTTATGAATACAAACCAGGTCCATTCTATTGAAAATGAAATTTGAACACATAGCAGTGAGTATTGAATTGTTAAAGATATGTCGAAGGAGAATCCCATTTATATTTACCATAACGATGGATGTCTAAAGTGACTCCTTGCCTTCATAACTGCCTTAACTCAACACCAAATTTCTGTTAGAGATTGTAGGAAAAAACAAATTTTTAAGGTACTATGCATCTAATTCTTGTCAACACATTCTCATATTACTTTAACCTTACGTAGAATATATTATAAATGAAGAAAATTATTAACATTGTAAACATATTTTTTCTATTTCTTTGTCAGTAACATTATGACATATATTTTCTATTTTTAGTGTGGGTTTTTCCGCAGAAGACGTCCAGAAGAACAGGCTTTCCTCACACCAGCAGCTCAAAATGGCGATTATAAACCGGTTCAATCTGGTGCACCAGACTCTAGATATCATTACATGTAGATTTGATAAGAGACTCGAATATAAAGTTATAATGTATTGATAGAGCTCTCTCCTTAATCCATACATGTGAACTTTTTTAGATTATCAAGTAGGAGATTTTTCTTCAAAAGAGGGAGATTTTAGAATTTGCAATAAACAAAGAAGGAAATTTTGACATCAAAATTAGGGAGATTTCTTTAATTTGTGAAAATACACCATATTTTAAGAAAAAACTTTGAAAATATGGCTGCAGAAAGTGGGAGTCTCCCGCTAAAAGTGGGAGAGTTCACATGTATGTTAACCATACCATAAAAACACTGTATGTCAACTTGAACAATGCTGAATTTTATAAACCCTGTGCCACAGATGTTGTTAATTGCTAGTGACAGCATTAGGGTTAATTAAACTCAGTATTGCAAGTGTGATACCTGGTGGTGATCATGTTTTATTTATTATGTAACACTTGTATGTAACAAAACCATTGATTTAACATTAAAACGACATGATATAATGACATCATTTATCTTCTGGTATTTTTGAGTTACATGCAAATTGTATTCTAGATATTCATTTAAATTAAATGTCTTGATGTTCATGTAAATTGAATTCTTGTTTTTCTTTGAATTTTAGACTTTTATGTAATTAAATTGGATTCTAGATTTTCATATAAATTAAATATCGAAATATTCATGTAAATTGAATTTCTAGATTTTCATGTAAATTGAAAATCTCGATATTCATTAAAATAAATTCCAGATTTTCATGTAAATTTGATGTATGGTAAAGAGGGAGCTCTATCTTTATATGCCAAATGTTTTAAACATATCCATGTCTTGTATTTATTTTTACATGTTTTGAAGAAAAATGTGACAATGTTTAAGAAAAGGAGATACACAATATCATGATTAATGATTTGCAGGTGCTCAAATCTTTGTTTATCTGATATTATAATTATATTTTAATTATCAAAAAAAATCCAAATACATGTCATTTTTTCATAGTGGTATTTTTTAGTATTTTTTTTAAGTTGAACGTAAATTATGATGCTAGAGTCAGTGAATATTTTTCATCTTAATCATCATATAAAAAATAATGAGAGAATTGTAAGAGAATAAAACTTAAGTCTTGAGATGGGACAACAGAAAAACTGCAGTAACTTGAATGAAATAAAGAAAGAGATACAACGGTTTTGCAATCAACCCTAGAATTGTATGCACTTCTAAGTCATCTGACTTTGATTTAAGCAAATATAATGTAATTTTGAAATATGTTTTAAGAGAAGATAATGACAGTTTCATTTCAAAGACTTGGGCCCAGGAAAGCACTTGTACCAGTAACTATGCCCCCATATAGAATGTGATATATAACATGTAAAAATGGTCTAAATTAAGAATGTTGTGCAACCATGTAGAAGTAGCATATATACACAAATTAGGCTGTTTCCATTGACTGTGTATACACAGCTCTGGGCCTGTGTAATACTTTTATACATTTGTATTTAAATGTATGTCTTAATAAGTGATTGAAATTTTGTTTGTTTTAGAAAATAACTTGACATGATTGGAATGGAGGCAGGTGACCATTTCTGTTATGTTTTTTAATAAAAAAAAAAAAGTGAAAAGTAATTTTACTATTTAATTATTTTTTTTTAGTTTTGATATAAAAAGTAGATCTTTGGTGTATTCAAAAGAATACTAAGTTTGGTTGTTTAAATTGTTTTGTATGATTTTTTTCTCGTAATATATATTGCTGATTTTTGAAAATATATATAAAGATTTATGAGAATGCGCTTTTAAATGATTGACACATGTAGCCTACCTATATATTGCAAGTTTTTTTGAATTGCTGAAATGTTGCCGTAAGATAGTTATAATTATTATTGAGAAGGCATGAATTTCAAGCTCTCAAGAATTAATCATAAATTACATGACCCCTGTATAATCCATCTTTATAAATTTACATCTCATGAATTCACACAAAACTCATGATTACAATAAAAATTCATGAAATTGTAAATCCCCTCAACCAACATGAATTCATGATATATACATTTTCATGAATGAAGTGAAAATTCATGAAATCATAAAACTCCTCCACCCCCATATGTAGTATTTGTATCATAAATTCACTTAAGCTCATGAATGCTATGAAAATTCATGAAATCATAAACTCCTTTACCCATTGTATATTATTTTTATCATAAATTCACTTAAAGGTCATGAATACAATGAAAATTCATGAAATCAGAAATTACTCCATCCCCATATATAGTATTTGTATCATAAATTTACTGAAGCTCATGAATACAATGAAAATTCATATGAATACAATGAAAATTCATAAAATCATATTCAAGAACTTTATACGCTAGGAGCAATAATGACTTATCTATGCCAGCAGTACAAGCTTTGAATTTTGAATAGCCCAGTTGAAGTTTTAAGGGATATTATTATTAAATACAAAAATTGAGTTACCAACAGTATTGAGCCTGGTCAGACTGCATGGATGTGCAGGCTGGCCTGGCTCTATACCGATGCCAAGAGACTGAGCACTTTAATCAACGTCCAGCAGTTGAAAGGTTCATATTATCATTGCAAGGTCCTAGTTTATGTTACAGTATTTTAATATCTTTAGTATCTTAATTATTTCATCAGCGGATAAACACATGTTTTTACATTGATTCATTGATATTTTGTATTTACTGTATATATATATATACATACATGTATATATTTACATCATCATATGCAGTCTTCAAAAGAAATGCTCCATTCACATTATTGTAGTATAATTAAATCATCCCCTCTCACATGTGCCATTAGTTCATTAGTTTTTTTTTATTTATTTGAACTATAAATTCACATGATCAACAAAAAGTTAAAGTTTACACTGACCTGGAAAATAAAAATGGAAGTTTTTCTTTAAAACAGCTGTTTTGTTTATGGAATTCTGGTTTAAGAGGTAATTTAACATAAACAAAATGAATATTTGGCCTAATAATGACACATTTTTTTGTTTTGTTTTTGTTTTCAATTGAAAGTGTTTCTTGATGTTAATTTTTTTTAATTTTATGTTCTTGCAAAATAGTTTTCCATTTTAGTTTTTAAAATTTATGCAAAGAAAATAAAATTTCTAGCCTGAAATAAACAATATGCCTAAGTTTACTTTATCATTTAGTGCCTTCATTTCTATGGAAACAAATATAATATGAACTGTTTTTATGTATATTTTATGCTATATATCCTGGACAGAAATTGGTCAAAGACCAAAACGTACAAAATGTTCGTCACCTTAGTTCAATAACGGGGTAACTCCTATTAAATTAAGAAGGACTTGCGCTTTTACTGCACTGAGGTGAGAATCATGCACCTCTGTGCAGTAACAGTTTAACTCCTATGAAATTATATAAGAAATTAATCCTTTATTGCACCAAGCTGACGACTGATGTACAGTAAACTAGTTAGTTTTACATGTTGTTATGTTATTATTATTTTCTAATTTTTGTTTTGCATGTTTGTAATTATTTTAGGTGTCCATGGTAATCATCATGTGATTGTTAAGCGAGCATTTTGTATGTTATAAATTATATATAACATCATGAAATTTTGCTACTTTTATATTGTGATTTTTATATATATATATGTATGAAAGTTTATTATGTATTTGAATAAATGCTAAATCAGTGACATGAAACAAGACACGCCTTGTCTGAGAAATTCTTTTTATAACCGTTTATTTATTCTATTTGAACATGATTTATATTAAGGGAGTTAACAATACAAGACTCAAATAAAACTTGTGATTATTTTTCTTATTTTCTAGCAATAATGTTCGATAAGTAGTTAGTCACTTGCTGTGTGAAATTCATAATTACTGGTTAGTTATCCAGAAAAGCTGGTTAACTGGATGACTGCAAAGATGAGCCAGAAAACGTGTTAAAAACCGGCATGAAACCAGACAAACAAACAGACGGACAAACAAACATTTTGTAATGTTATGAATATAAATGATAAAAATCATCTGTGATGATTATAAACTATAACCAGATTTTGTGCAATACTCAGCTATAACACAACTCTATGATTTGATTAGTTTTGAGCCCCTCCATGGCCAAACTTTTGTTGTCACTAAATGTTGAATCACAGAAACCTAATTGTTGCAGGTTTAAAACCTTCAAAGTATGAGAAAGTTTTTTATACAATATCATCACCTTAGTGCAGTAATGGGCCAACTTTATTAGAAATTCAATAGGAGTTAACCTTTTACAGCACTAAGGTGACAATATGTGCATTCTTGTTCCACAGAGGGGACTTTGAGGTCTACCTTGACCAGTGAAGCTGGAAAACAGCCATTTTATCCCTTAGAGAGTGTAAATGTGGCCATTCAGCCAACAACTAATGATATAAGTAAGAATTATAATTATGTGCACTTTTTTACACCATCACTTTAACAAGGTTGATGCAAAAACTACAGACAAATATAATTTCAAGTTTGATTTTCTAATAACAAAGATAGCTTTTCTAGTACATTAAAAAAAACACTTTTGAATGATACTAAAAAAACCAGTTTGATGTGAAACTGACATTAATTTTAGGTTAAAAAAGACATATTATTCACTTATATCTACTAAATTTCTATGAGAAACCCGTTATTTTTATTGTACCAATTCAGGGATATCGAAGATCAAAATAACATACCAGTATTGAAATATAGTGGTTTGTTTCATATTTCAGCAATTCAATTTGATTCTACAATATCAAGATAATATTTTGGCTTCTAAGATGTGTATGTCTGTGTCTTTAAATGCCCATTAAATCTATTTGCCAATTTTCAGGCTTGCATAGATACTATTGTTTCATTTATATCCGACATTAATTTTTGAGTTTTTTTATTTGGAATGAAATTATATAAGTTTTGTATTTATGTAAAACTTTGTTTTCATTAGAGGAGCTGAGACAGTTCATTTGACAATGTAATTATTGTATATTGTAATATTTCTACTACATGTTCAAATCCATAACTCTTTGACTATAAATCATTATATACTTTTTAGAAGCAAACTTTGGAAGACATCAAAACAGGAGTTCATTGAAAACATATTCATGGCTCTTTTAACATTTTTTTGGAGCATGGATATTAATTATTTATATATTTTACTTTTAATATACTTTGTACATTCACGGACCTTTATTGTCAATTAAGGTCTATGGTACATTGTACATTTAATATACTGTTTTAGAAGCAAACTTTGAAAGACTACAAAACAGGAAGTCCACTACTGTAGCATTTTTAGAGGGCACAAGTTCATTGCATGTTGGTTGATTTCCATTTCTCTTCATTAAGCGTGTATCAGTCCAAATTACTGAAAAATAATATGCCCTTCAAAAAAGCTAGAAAACATTTTCATTCTCATAAAAATTCTAGTATATTGTGTATAAATTTAACAACTTTTGGTTTCTTACAAAGTGTAGTCAGTGATACTTCTTTATTTCAAATTTGAATGCAGCACAGAAATACAGTCTGTATATTTCTGCATTATAAGCCCTCGAATGCAGTAAGTGGAATATTAAAACATCTCTTATACAACGTGGCAGTACACTTCCAACATGGGAGCCTTCAGACATGTAGAAAGTTAAAAAATAATGCAACCTTCAACATCAAAGTAAATGTCGAGATTTAGTGTTGAAACATTAAACTTGAATGTAATTTGGATAAATCATTGTGATAATATATGTGTTTATATAGTCATAATACATGTATGGAAAAAACTATGCATTTATTATTTTGGCGATTTCTTAGCAATAAATTATTATATGTTTATAAAATATGTTTGTTTTCTTTTTATGTCTTAACTTAAAAGGGGGAGCATGCTGTGATGGGGTGGTTCTTTGTCCGCCCATGTAATGCCTCAACACTTCTTTGTTTGACAATTAACTAGAAAAGTTCTTAGATTTAGTGTGGAATTTAACCATGACAAGTAGATGGCCTCCAATCGGTTTTTATGTCAAAGGTCACTATCGTCATGGCCTTGGCCTCTAATGTTTGTCAGGTCAATTACTAGAGAACACGGGCCTATAGTTCTAAGATTTGCAGGTGTTACGGTAGAGTGCAAACCTACCTTCATAACTGTAAGTACTACCTGTGACAGCTGAACTGTGTTTTTGTTAATTTAAAGCGGCTTACTGTGGAAAAGTACCAACATCTTTTTTTAGCTCACCTGAGCTTGCTCAGGGTGAGCTTTTAGGATCGGTGAATGTCCGTCGTCCGTCCGGCCGTCCACAATTACTTGTGAACACTCTAGCGGTCGCATTTTTGCCTCAATCATCATCAAACTTGGTCAGGATGCTTATCTAGTTGAAAGCTCGGATGAGTTCGAACATGGGTCATCTCGGATGAAAAACTAGGTCACAAGAGCTAAAAATAGAAAAACCTTGTGAACACTCTAGAGGTCACATTTTTGACCCAATCATCATCAAACTTGGTCAGGATGTTTGTCTAGGTGATAGCTTGGATGAGTTCGAACATGGGTCATCTCGGATGAAAAAGTAGGTCACAGGAGCTATAAATAGAAAAACCTTGTGAACACTCTAGTGGTCACATTTTTGAACCAATCATCATCAAACTTGGTCAGAATGCTTGTCTAGTCAATTGCTTGGATGAGTTCGAACATGGGTCATCTCTGATGAAAAACTAGGTCACAGGAGCTAAAAATAGAAAAACCTTGTGAACACTCTAGTGGTCACATTTTTGACCCAATCATCATCAACTTTGTCAGGATGCTTGTTTAGATAATAGCTCGGATGAGTTCGAATATGGGTCATCTCGGATGAAAAACTAGGTCACCGGAGCTATAAATAGAAAAACCTTGTGAACACTCTAGCGGTCACATTTTTGCATCAATCATCATCAAACTTGGTCAGGATGCTTATCTAGTTGATAGCTTGGATGAGTTCGAACATGGGTCATCTCGGATGAAAAAGTAGGTCACCAGAGCTAAAAATAGAAAAACCTTGTTAACACTTTAGCGGTCACATTTTTGCATCAATCATCATCAAACTTGATCAAGATGCTTGTCTAGGTGATAGCTCGGATGAGTTCGAACATGGGTCATCTCGGATGAAAAACTAGGTCACAGGAGCTAAAAATAGAAAAACCTTGTTAACACTCTAGTGGTCACAATTTTGACTCAATTGTCATCAAACTTGGTCAGGAAACTTGTCTAGGTCATTGCTGGGAATAAATCGAACATGGGACATTTCGGATGAAAAACTAGGTCACAGGAGCTAAAAAATAGAAAAAATCTTGTTAACACTCTAGTGGCTACTGTTGTGATCCAAATATTCTGTTAATTGGTCTGAAAGTTTGTTTTGATGATTTCTAAGTCAAGATCGAACATGGGTCATCTTGGATGAAAAACTAGGTCACACCGCCCAAATATGGAAAAACCTTGTTAACATTCTAGTGGTCACATTTTCGACTCAATTATCATCAAACTTGGTCAGGATGTTTGTCTAGGTAATTGCTTGGATGAGTTCGAAATCGCATGTGAAACTAGGTCACCGGAGCTAAAAATAGAAAAATCTTGTTAACACTCTAGTTGCTACTGTTTTGATCCAAGTATCCTGGAAATTGGTCTGAAAGTTTGTTTTGATGATTTCTAGGTCAAGTTTGAATATGTGTCACCTGGGTAAAAAACTAGGTCGCACTGCTCAAATATGGATAATCCTTGTTAACACTGTAGTGGTCACATTTTTGACTCACCTGTCATGAGACTTGGTCAGAATGCTTGTCTAGGTAATTGTTTGGATGAGTTTGATAATTCAGGTGAGCGATCTAGGGCCATCATGGCCCTCTTGTTTTTTAAACCACAACTACCACCACCACTGCGATTGCGAATCGTAAACAGAATGTCTCGAGATGGAATCTCATTCACGGCAAGGTCTTTTCTGATATTTTCATCTTTCAATGATAAGCCAGGTTAAAAGGTCAAGGTCACTGTTACTTGCAACAGCAAAACATAAATGCACCTCGACGAGTAAAATAATATGTCGGAGGTCGAGGTTTACAAAAGTACAGCTCGCTGTTTCTTGTCCGCTTTATGATGGCTCAGTCTTGATATTAACAACATATTCTATGTTGCAATTAAAGGATATGTAAAATGTTTGCCTATTTATCCTGCATGTGAAGATAAATAACGAAAACAAAATTGTTCATAAAAACGTATTTTTATTCAAAAATATATTTTTTAACAACTGGAAAAATGGAAAAACTTGTCTCACCGTAGGGAACGTGTTACAGTATCGCGTTTTTCGGTTACAGTATAGAATTTTCAAGATGGAGGGTTATTTATGGGAAGAGAGGTAGGTGATTTTTATTCAGGTCCATACTACAAGTAGTTTAGTTTCTAAAAGATGTTTTTGTGCTTTGCTTGTAAGGAACAGAATCCGATATCTAGTCATATATTTCTTCAGACCCTGCACCGCAGATTTATCTCTATTTTGTCTCATAAATGTGCAGATTTGACGGTTTAAAAATTTGAATCGAGAGACCAACGCATTTTTCTCCCATTCCGACATTATTTAAGCATGCCTAGATAAAGTAAATCTACAAAACGTTAGTCCTTTGTGTTTAGAAACGTTTATAAAAGTAAATGACCAGTTGAACCTATTTTCCTGTTGGTAAAATGCGTTTGAAAAAATAAACAATGTTACAGTATAGAGCGAGGTTAATTTTGAAGGGTTACAGCATAGACCTAGCGACTTTGATCCAACTTTGTTACAGTTTATACCCAGATTTCGGTAACAGTTTAGATACTTGCCAACTTTCAAACAAAGTTCGTGTATCCATTATTTTTATGAAATGACTCATACCTTTCTATTTAATACATTCTTGAAAGGTTGTATTACTTTTTTTCTTCAGCAGTAAAGTTATAATTTGCTATTTTTCTTACTTTAAAATTCAGATTGAGACTTTTTGCAGAATAAGTAATGTCCTAAGTAAGGACTGTTTTCACGACAACAACAGTAACTTTTATCGAATTGTATTGAGAGAAGAAAGATTATTGCTGAGAAGAAAGATTATTGCTTGATTTCATTACACATTATAATAATGCCTATTAGTAATAAAATAGAAAAAAATGAATCCTTAATAGAAGTTCAACACGGAAAACATGAAAATGTTGCAGAAATCTGTTCATGGACGGTAGTGGTAACTGCAAGCTACCGTCCACGCCTGCTAGCACCGGCTTCAGCAGAATTCACATTAAACATGAACTGGTACAGTTAAGACTTTTTAACATCTGTGGATGTGTTCATATGGCGGTTATCATGGAACATTCAATGTGACACGTTATTGCCATTCTATGAAAAGCGGCATATTACCCCCAGGTTAAAAATTGCGTGTGCCCTAAACGAGAATATAATGAGTGAAACTAAATAAAATGAAATTTTGAGAGGGGATCGGAGGTTATGAAGCCTGCATACCATAGGTAAGCTGTCAAAAGACACAATTAACAAGCAGGCAATACCCTCAGAATTATTAAACAGTATTTAAGTGAGCAATACTGCAACCTTAAATTTTATTTTAAGTTGGAATTTCCATCTACCATAATGTATTTTGTAAGTATTTAAAAGGGTTTGTTACGTTTGGCTTTCTTGGATTTTAAGTTTCAACGACACTGAGGTCATGTGAAAACATTCCTGCTTTAGTGTAAAGAAAGACCCCAGATGCCCTTTGTGAAACATTTCAGACACGAGCGGGCACCTGACTAGAACCACCGACCTTCCGTAAATTAGCTTGATAGATTCCTCACATACAAAGAATCAAAAGTCATGATTGGATTTCAACTACAGCTGCAGTAAATGAAAGATGATTTGAAGTCGACGGCCTTATCCCGACTCTGCCACTATTATGTACCTCCATCAGGCTCACTGGACTAGATATTGTAATTGTCTGACCTTAATTTATACTCTATAACTTTCAATATTATTTTCTTTTTCAGAAACATGAAAACTGCTATACAGGATGTCAAGTATTTACTGAGCGGATGAGATTGCACACACTTTTGTGCGACAGACGGACGAATTATAGCCATCGGGCCAATAAACTCACGGAGATTTAAAATTCTATGTAACATTCATACATTTTACCTAGTATATATAGAAAATATCGAAGTCTAAACTGTAACCGAAATCTGGGTATAAACTGTAACAAAATCGGATAAAAATCGCTAGGTCTATGCTGTAACCCTGCACAAATCACTTCGCTCTATACTGTAACATTGTTTATTTTTTCAAACGCATTTAACGAACAGGAAAATAGGTTCAACTGGTCATTTACTTTTATAAACGTTTCCTAACATAAAGGACTAACGTTTTGCAGATTTACTTTTTCCAGGCATGCATAAATAATGTCGAAATTGGAGAAAAATGCTTGGTCTCTCGATTCAAATTTTCAAACTGTCAAATCTGCATAATTATAAGACAATATAGCGATAAATCTGCGGTGCAGAGTCTGAAGAAATATATGACTAGATACCGGATTCAGTTCCTTACAAGCAAAGCACAAAGACATCTTTTAGAAACTAAACTACTTGTAGTATGGATCGGAATAAAAATCACCTACCTCTTTTCCCATAAATAATCCTCCATCTTGAAAATTCTATACTGTAACCGAAAAACGCGATACTGTAACACGTTCCCTACGGTGTGTCTGTCTTCCAATAAAACAATAAATATACATGATATACATCTGTATATATTCATTAAACATTTTAAAAATCAATGTATAAAACAATAACAAATTAGAATGTAGATCTATTTGATAAAACATTCGTAACGTTTTAACGATTATCACGGATTTATATTAAATATAATATAAATCCGTGCGATTATATAACAGCAATAATAAACATGAAATCACGTATAAACAAATACTCAAAGGTCTATGTCTTCTAAAGAATTAACGTTCTTGATATTTAAAAAAAACTTAAAAGAAAATTAACAGAAGTAACAAATTATCAAATAAGATAATATTTAACGTTAATAAAAATAATTAAATAATAAAAAAAAACAACACTATCACATAAACAAAGTTAAAAGGATAAAAACAAATTAGAGAATCTGCTGACTTAATGATTTTACAATGGATTAAGTTCATTTAATCTGACAGTTTTGTCGCTGGTTAGATTAAATTTGGTGTAAATCAAATAAACTAACGAAAGTAAAGAGTCCGCCAAGATTTCCTTAAAACTATTTGGACTTTGAAGGAATACGATATTTTTCCTTAAAGCAGAAGCTTTCAAATACTTAAGCATACATGTTTTTTTTTTTCTTCTCAATTTGCTCGCCATGGCCTTGTGGTTATTTCTGGGATTTTATGTTCTCATACCTTTTTGTAAGGCGTTTTGTAATTTCTTCACTCAGCAGTTTTGCTTCCATACCCTCTTCATCAGCTATCACCCTATCTGGGTGAAAGTGGATCACCGCTTTCTGAAGTAATTTGTACTTCTGATCAAACTCTAGCGCCTTTGTTTCATCGGATATATCTAATTTATGACTTGCATTCTTTCGTGGGTATTTCTTGTAAACAAATCTAAGAAATTCTAGAACGGTATCACCGTCGTGTTTGTCAATTTCATCTATTTCCGGTTTCAGTTTTTTCCTCGTCTTTCCCTTTTTGTTCTTTTTCCTTCATTAAACGGTTTTTTTTGGTCCTTTCCAGAATTGATTACATATCTGGATACCGAAGCTAAAAATAAATAAAAAATAATTTTAAATGTCTAAGCATTTATTTTATGCTACACCATTTGAAATGAAAAAATAAAACCAAGTTCTCATGTTCATGCAGATCTAAGCATATCACGAAAAACACGAAAACTTCAATTTTGAAATATTATTTAAACATTCGGGACACTAACGCTGGGGATTTTAGACAAACCACGAACTACGAACACAAATAAAGACGACGTTCAAGCAAAAAGTTGTCCCAAACAATTATTGTTTTAACAAGGATTGCAAAATAACTAATGTTGGAAGAAACAAATAAATATGAATGGCAGACGGATTGCAGAACAGATACTAGCAGCTATTGGAGACAAATCTAGGTATGGAAAATATCAAACAAGGATATGGATTCACCAACAAGGGTACAGAAATACCAGCAAGGGTATAGAATTATTTACAAGGGTACGGAAATGCCAGCAATGATATGGAATTGCCACCAAGGGCTAGACACATATGACAAAAATTTTAAAATGAACAGCAAGGCCGTTGAAATATTAGAAAACTCTATATTGTCATGGGCGTCCGTGGCCGAGTGGTCGTTGTCTTCAAACCACTTGCCCCTCACCTCTGTGGGTTCGAATCCCGACAGGGACTTTGGATTCTTTCATGTGAGGAAGCTATCCAGCTAGCTTACGTATCGTCGGTGGTTCTACTCAGGTACCTGTTCGTGCCTGAAATAATGTACGGCAGGGCACCTGAGGTCTTCCTCCACCAGTAAAGCTGGAATGTCGCGATAAGACCTATAATGTGTCGATGTGACGTAAAACCCAAAATAAAACAAACTATATTGTCATGTTTCATAGAAAAAGAGATTAAAAAACAAATTAATCAGAGAAAAAAAACACCTTAACGTTCCTTAGACATAAAATCATCATTTATTTTCACTGGGACAAAAGATAAGTCATTTTAAGTCCAGGTTTTCCTAACTTACCTTCAGAGGTAAAAATTCGTGGTGTCATTGACTGGGCAAGTTCAAGAGATTTTTTCAGGTAAGTTTTCGCCCGGAATTTCAGTTTAAAAACTTTATCATAAACGATGCCTATTTTGTATAGAGCTATGGCTTCTTGTTTCATGTCCACGTCACGTGCCTGAAATAAAATAATATTATTTATAAATGTATATGTAAAGAAATGTGGTGTTCCAGCAAAATAAGAAAAGTTAATAAGAGGAAATACCGGTTCTTTACAAGGAAGCGTAAAATAAAAGAGTGTCACAACAGATATAATAATTTCAGAGCGAAATAGGACACATTTTAGTGTGTTTTTTTCGGGTGTCACAAGGGTCTAAATTAACTATGACGTCATACCCTCAAAATAGCGTTCTTGTACCAGTCCATCACTTCCCATATCATGTCCATATTGAGCGTCTCTTCCTCTTTCAGCACTTTATCAAGTAAAATATCACCTTGAAATTAAAACATGGAAATTTTTTCACAAATAAGATCTTATTTCTGGAAAGCAATTACTGCTTTGTTTTACATGTACAAATATATACATGTATATATGCTAATAAATGAGACATAAGTAGAAAGTCTCACTGAAAACAAAAAAAACATCGATTCCGTGCAAAATGTCTTACTGCCGTAAAAAGCAGAAAACTTTATAATCCATGTAACAAGAAAATTGTAATTAAAAACTAAATAATATCATCAAATTAAGGCCTATGTTTATATATATATGCATTTGCAATCTAAGCAGGCCTAAGAAAAAGTCTAAATGAAAACACAAACAATTTCAGTGCAAAATTGCGATAAAAGCAGAGATCTTTATAATACACCTAATAAGATTTTTAAAAAAAACACACACAAAACAACAACAACAACAAAGGTAACGAAATTCGGAATTCTTCTGCTGTTTTTACCTGTCTGTCTAGACTGCATAGATTCAGCTAATGCCGTGTTAACTCTGACGTCACTCTCCAGTACTGAGTGTTCCTTCACTATCACCTCGTCCCCACGAGCATATTTCAACGCTTCAGCCAGAGGAAAATAACAATCGTGCATGTTACATAAACATTTCTTATAATCTCCGACTTCTACAGCTTTCACTCCACGGTGAAAATGAAACTCTGTTATTAAAATACAGAAAACTATTAAAGTAAAAACAATACCAGTTTGCGTCGGCTGTCTTTTGGAAGGGATATTTATTCTTGGCGAACAAAGTAAAAATGAAACGACTATTTTATAGACTGAATAGTGAAATCGGTGTGTTTGTCGGTTTAAATGTTGAACTCTGCTTAAGACGGTGCTTAAAGGGGAGTGGACGGTAGCTTGCACTTTCTAGTACCGCCATGCATGAGCAGGCTTAATCAAACCGAGCCTGCAACATTTTCAATTTGGTCATTTTGGGCGCTCATTAGGAATTCCGTTTTTTTAAGTGACTCAATATATTATTTATATCATTTACTGCATGCATTGAACATCCTTGAGTGATTTTACAAAACTCGTTGGTGCCACTCTTAACTTCACAATATGCATGGTATTGTTATATATGTCTGGGCAAATCCGTGGTCTGAGTACTTGAGGATCGAACTTGTAATGACGGACAGTATACCACTGGGCAATGCACCTGTCTCTGCCGCCTTATTGGCGTCCGCGCCGAAGCGCGACGCCCCTTATGGAATGAAATCAGATTTTGTGAAAGGGCAACAAGCAACTTCTCGGGCCTTTTCGTCGGTCATAATAGCCGATCATTCCGATTGGTATGAGGGTGTTTGATTATCAAAAATGAAATGTCGCGAACAATGAATAGCGAACTGGAGAATTTCGCAATGCAAACATATTCAAATGAAATTATCTTATCCGTCAATTAATCGCGCTCTTCGTGGTTTTTTTTATTAATCATTTTGTAGTACACACAGTGGGTTATTGTGTATTGCTGTACCTATAAATAGAATGATGACCTTAACATTGTGAAAGTCCGAAAATCTATTTAAAGAAGGAATTTTAGTTCTAACGAAGCGGTCATTCGTGTAGCGCTATAGGTATAAATAACGAACTTTGCAGGAAATGAAATATGAAAAATGAAACATATTCAAACAACTAATTTGCACTTTGGATATTATAGACCTGTATATTTTGGATATTATCGTTAATATTAATAGAATTTCAAGTTCCTAGGGAAAAAAATAATATTCTAATCTCTAGCCTGCCTACCAAAGTTCATGTTGAACAATGTCTTTCGTCCGCCCTATCATAAATATTATACAATTCTGGTACAAAACAATTATAACCATTGAAAAGTTTAGAAGAATATCTGGTCATCAGATGTCTACAAGTTCATCTTCACTTGCTGCATTTCTTGCATGGACGCCCTTTGATGCTTTGCATCAATGCTTTTCTTGTTATGTCTTTTATTAACATTAACATCGCGGATATACTCACGCACTGGTGCCAAATTATGAATGGATAGAGTATTTAAAGATGTTTATATGCTTACGTACCGGCAATTGCTAAGAAACATTCAGCTTTCATATCTATGACCGGGATAAAGTCTATACATTCCCGTATCGTTATAATTCGGTCTTCCACATCAAGCGCTTTTAAAGATTCTGTTGCTTTTCCAATTTCCTCCCAGCAACTCCTGAAACAAAAAAAAGACTTATTGAAACACGTGTAATATATACCGGTATATAAAAATGCAGTCAAACCTGTTTGGAAGACCACCTCTTTATACATGTGTATAAAGGTCGCTCTGGGACAGCCCTTCATCGATTATAAAGAACAAAGTAACCTCTAAATAAAGACCACCTGTCTGTAAAAGGACATGATCGGCATGGTATGGACAGTATTTGATTTTTATAATTTTATCTTTCAAATTCTACATACCTGCATTGAGCAATGATATTGTCCAACCATTCTGTCGGCTTTCCGCAACTGCTTCCGGTCCTGTATGCGTGATTAAGATACTTTAACGACTGTTTGAAATAGAGCTTAATAACAGGCCATTTTTCTCCTGTAACGAGAAACGGACGCGTTTCTTAAAACTTAGTAACAATTAGAAATAACAAAATATGAAAAAAAATAATGTTCTTATCCGAAGACTAACGGAAAGGGCCGAAAAGCTACATGCATTGATTAATTATAATAATAAACAGTAATTTCTAATAAATAAGTTTGTTTGCGACATTAACTGGTGTCATACCACTAATAAGTTTGGTTGCGACATTAACTGGTGTCATACCACTAATAAGTTTAGCTGCGACATTAACTGGTGTCATACTACTAATAAGTTTGTTTGCGGCATTAACTGGTGTCATACCACTAATAAGTTTGGTTGCGACATTAACTGGTGTCATACCACTAATAAGTTTGGCTGCGACATTAACTGGTGTCATACCACTAATAAGTTTGGTTGCGACATTAACTGGTGCTATTCCACTAATAAGTTTAGCTGCGACATTAACTGGTGTCATACCACTAATAAGTTTGGCTGCGACATTAACTGGTGTCATACCACTAATAAGTTTGGTTGCGACATTAACTGGTGCTATTCCACTAATAAGTTTAGCTGCGACATTAACTGGTGTCATACTACTAATAAGTTTGGTTGTGGCATTTACTGGTGTCATACCACGTATAAGTTTAGCTGCGACATTAACTGGTGTCATACCACTTATAAGTTTGGTTGCGACATTAACTGGTGTCATACCACTGATAATTAAGTTTGGTTGCGATATTAAATGGTGTCATACCACTAATAAGTTTTGTTGCGGTGTCATACCACTAATAAGTTTGGCTGCGACATTAACTGGTGTCATACCACTAATAAGTTTGGTTGCGACATTAACTGGTGCTATTCCACTAATAAGTTTAGCTGCGACATTAACTGGTGTCATACTACTAATAAGTTTGGTTGTGGCATTTACTGGTGTCATACCACGTATAAGTTTAGCTGCGACATTAACTGGTGTCATACTACTAATAAGTTTGGTTGCGACATTAACTGGCGTCATACCAAGTATACGTTTAGCTGCGATATTAACTGGTGTCATACTACTAATAAGTTTGGTTGCGACATTAACTGGCGTCATACCACGTATACGTTTAGCTGCGATATTAACTGGTGTCATACTACTAATAAGTTTGGTTGCGACATTAACTGGTGTCATACCACGTATACGTTTAGCTGCGATATTAACTGGTGTCATACCACTTATAAGTTTTGTTCGACCTTAACTGGTGTCATACCACTAATAAGTTTGGCTCCACATTAACTGGTGTTATACCACTTATAAGTTTGGTTGCGACATTAACTGGTGTCAAATCACCTATAAGTTTGGTTGCGGTGTCATACCACTATAAAGTTTGGTTGCGGTGTCATACCACTAACAAGTTTGGTTGCGGTGTCATACCTGTATCAACAGCGAGTTTTGCCAGCTTCCAAGTAGTAGTTCCCGCGTTTTTAGCAGCAGACGAAATTTCTTCATCACAAGTTCCACTTGAATGTGCGTTTTCATAACATGTTAAGGCTTTCTGGAACCTCCCTTTTCGTACAACTGGGGCAACTTGATCATTTGCGCTAAAATAATGTTTATTCCCTTCCAGACGCCATGTTACAGAGGCAGACGGTGTCGCCATTTATTGATTCCTTTTGTGATATAGCTGGAATAAAATACAAAGTAGAAATCATAACATCATTTACACCCGTTTAGTTGACTCTTGTGGATCAGAACCGGGTCCCATGTTAATTATCATGAGCCTTTAACACTTTAACACAAGTAGGATATTATATTGCAATCATAAACTTGGTTTGATTAAATTTCCACGTGAAATAAAAAAAATCGAATTAGATGGTGAGAATTAAAAAAAATAGAATTAGATGCCATATTGATGTTACACTGGTTAAAGTTACAGAGAGTAACAAGGGCTGAGCAGGGTGGGACTCCATGAATTGAAAGATAACAAAATTTTAACCTTGATTCAAGGCTCCACCTAAAAAATGATAATATTTGTCCATAAGAACGCCGGTGTACACCAAACAGTAATCAAGTTTTCAAGTTTTTATTGATACCCCAAGGTCCAATTGGGCATGTGATATTACAAAACACTACAAAACATATTAAAGTGGTGACGTATTAATAAATTGAAACCATGGCAATGCTGTGACCATATAAACATAATAAAGATAATAATAAAATAACAGAAAGTTTACAATGGAAAATTTAGAATGGGAGTTTGAAATCATTATGCATTTTAAGAACAAAAAAAAAATATTGCGGAAGATTGCTGGATTAAATAACACATTTTTGCATTTGGTTAGGCCTTTTAAGTAGGATGAATGTTGAATATCTTTAACATGCTCCTCTACATGGTAATTATTAGTGTAACGACGGTAAACAAACCCGAACATAAAAATTGAATGTCGATCTTAACCAAAAGTGTACATTTAAAAATTGATCCATCTTTATGCTTATATTTTTAATTCATAGTAAATCAATAACTGATGTGATAGCTTGTGAATTTTAATCATTATAAAATTTCTGTTACAAGTTATATAAGATATCAATTCCGGAGTTTTTCAAATAGACCATTTAAATGACTTTGATACATGTAGTTCTAAAATGCATGCATTAATGAAAAAAGAATTGTTCATGGATGAAAAAATTAAGAATTGTTCATGGTACTATAAATATCATGTTTTAGTCAAGAGAAAAGTACATTAAACACAAACTAATACTGCTAAATTTGTAATACGTGTACTGAATTTAAATAATGGTAGGTAAAAAGTGCCATAAAACAAGAATTTTAACTTTACTATAAACTGGTACAAAAATAGCTATAAAAAAATAAATGCATGTATATTTTTGGCCTCAGCTAGAAATAATGTTTATGTGGAAATCACATGCATAATTATACTCTCCCTATAGCATGAACGTGACAATAAAAAGGAAAACAAAGTTTAATAATGCTCCTCCTCCTGTCCGGCGCCCCACCACTCCCCAGCACGCGCACAACTAATATTTGCTTAGTTTCAATCATATTAATGTGACTTTAAATCCACACGAAACTGTTAAACTAAAGTATTAAAGGTAAATATATAATAATACATACATGAACGTTCGGATAACCTTGATTAAATTCCTTTACTGCTCAAAATAAATGACTGAATTCGAAAATAAACTATCTTATAAGTTATATTACATGTATATTACCAACCTTAGATTTTGAAATATATCAGATAATATATTTATGTATACACGTAAAAGTGTTATTTATAGATATTACAAAACATCTAATTCGGGTATAGTATAATTGACATGACCCGTTGACCTGCGTTGCGTTTTGCAATAAATAAATAAATATCCGGTACAGTGTACATGTTATTGATTAAATTTTGACACATAGATCTACATGTACTTCTTAATCATTTTTTATTAATATTTTTGTTTGTTTAATAAAATATGCATGTGAGACAAAAAATATGTGTTTATATTATAACTTTAAATATAGTTTACCACACACAGCACAATATTATACAGCTAATTTGTTTTTACTGACATTGAATATTGAAGTCCCGCATATCGATATTATTGTCGCGGATGAAAGAAATTGGAAAATACCACTTCCGGTGACCTCATTTGCATATTTTCGTCGGTGGAATGGCGGATTTGAAATTTAAACAGAATTCTGCAAACTTTTGAAAGAATATAACGGATTTAAAGCATATCGGTATAAATGACTGGTAGATCGTCATATCCAAACATGCTCTTTAATTCAAAGACACGATCACATGTACCACCAACGACACAACGTAGAAGATTAACAAAAAGTGCAGCTACTGTAGACGGTGAATATGACCCAGATTTGGCGTTGGCAATTCAAGAAAGTTTAAAGCAAGCCGAAATAGACGCGCTTAAAGCTAAGGAAAAACAAAGTGATACCTTGTCCAAAATTGAAAACAATATGGGAAAAGAAAACAGAACTCGTAAAATGTCAAATTCTTCAGGAACGCTGGAGTTGTCGTCTGAAACGAAACAGTTGAAAGATCTCGTCTGTGTTCACATGGATTTGATACAACAACAACAGGATGTCATTAGTCAAAAGGATAAAACTATTAAAACATTAAAAGCAGAGAATAATGCGGTATGTATTATTTCTATTTTTACTTTTTAAATTTGAATGTTTTTCGTTGAGACAGTCTGCGGTTGTCTGCCCAATCAAAAATAGCCTCTCATATCATGGAGATCACATGGAAGTCATGTGACCAAAATATTGTCATCGATCGGCATGCGTCTGCTTTTGTTCAAGTTTTGACCAGTTAATCTAATTTTGTGTTTCTTTATGTGTTAATTTGAAAATGACTGAAGTTTTAGCTCCTAGGAAATTCACGTTTGGATTAAGAAAGTGTTTTTATGGTACCAAAGGTGATTTAGAGAAAATTCAGGTTTGTGTTTATACATGTGAAATAAAGCCTTAGTTTATCTGATCATATTGATGTGTTAATTTATCAGTTCTTTGTGTACATGTGGCATTCATACTTCTTTGTTCTCATGCACTGTCAAATATGTGTTAACTTGTATTGTGTTGAGTAAACTACTGTGTAATTGAAATAGATAACATAGTTAAATTGTTGTGTTTGGTCTGTTTTTCTAAGATTTAATCAATCGTATGGATTTCACATTAGGTTTTTCCTTTACACAAAATTTTGTATGTAATTTTTAAATAGTTAGAAATTCTATATTAACTAATTAAGCATATAAAAACTTACCACACCCATAATGTAGTAAAAATTATTAAAAATAATTTTAATAAATATTATTCTCCTCGAAGCAAAATCCATTGACGTCACGGAATGGAGTCGGCGACAAACTCAGATCGCGGGAGATAATAAGAAAATGTTGAATTATTCCTACACACCTACGCAATTTAAAAAAATTATCGGTGGTATTTGATGCATTTATGTATTGTTTATCGAAATGGCCCAATAGATTATTTTGATCGGTTGTTTTGTTGATTTGTTCGGCATAAATTATGTTGGGGTGGGGAAAAGGTGTTTCATTCCTTGTGTTTATTTCTACTGTATAGGGGGTATATTTTGGATATTATCATTAATATTGATAGAATTTCAAGTTCCTGTGAAAAATTGTAATAACAAAGGTGTAATCTTTTGGCTTCTGTAGATTCCAGGGTTGTAATATAATAGAATGATTATTGAGTCTGTTGTGCACTTGACTTGAGGTGTTTTGTTCATTTTTGTTTGAATCACAAGCAGTGTCTCTAAGTCAAACCACCAGCAGGGATGTAGATATGCCTGCATATAAAATTGCAGAAATGTTGCTGAAAAAACTAGACATGTTCAATGCAAACTATGGCTGTACTGAACTGCTCTGGGTACCATAGGGAGCAGGGCAACTGCAGGGGGTAGGTGGATCAAGTGGTTTATATTCCTACAAAAGAATGAGAATTTACATAATAATACTCTGAAGTTTGCTGTAATATTACTAATAATGACAGTCACATAATCCCTGTCCAGTTTTCTTAATTATATTCTTAATAAGTTAATTTGTGTGTAAAATATTCAAGTTAGGGAAGAGAAACAAAATCATACATGTATGGGACACCTATACTTGGTCACTTTTTTATATATTATTAGTTATTACTTGGGCATACATGTACATAAATATGGCATCCTGTGCATGACATAATGTCTTAAGTTTCTTATAACATGTGCTCAGCCTCTTATGTGTTTATGTCACACAACAAAATTATGATGGCACATGAGGTTGAAATGAGGTTTTTTGATGGAATTCACTTTGAAGGAATTCACTTTGAAGTGGTGGTATCTTTGAAAATACTTGGAAAAGTGGCAGTCATCTATATTATTATATAGTACAGAAGACTATTTTTATTTAAAAAAATAAGGTTTGTAGGAGCTTTCTTTTGTAAAAAACCACTAAACTTTAAATAATTATATTTATGCGACATATTATTATTTATCCTTTTAATAGTTATTTTATCTAAATTCTATGTCACAGTAACTAGCAGGGAAGTTATAAAACAAATAAATTATTAATTTACATTTCCTTTGATTAGTTACAATGTCGTCTACAAAGGATGGAGCGACGCATGGCATTGCTCAAGCAGAAAGAAGAAATGGCTGGTTCCACACATATTGCGACCTCACCTCCTCCAAAGCCAGGCACCATGAGTTACACAGAACCAATCATCAGCCCGCTTGAGAAACAGCCTCAAAAGAGGTAAATATGATTACTTTTTTTTTTTTAAATCTAAAATATTCTTTATAAAACAATATTTATTGTTCTAACTGTGCCTTATTAAGTTATTTATCTCCACAGTGGCTTTTAGCCACTTACTGTTATTTTTGGAAAAGTTACCACTAAAATTTGGGAAGTAAAAAGCTGATGTAAGGTTTGATTTTTGGAAAAACTGCACAATTTTAAAGAAAATTTCCATTTATAGGCCTCTGTTATAATAAATTTAAGGTGAAAAATCACTGCTTCAGATCGTGAAAGATTAACTTAATATTATTATTAATCAGTGTTTCTGCCAGACTAGATTTTTTTGGGGGTCATTTGTGACCCTCTGCATAAAAATATAGGGGTCATTATACCCCCACAAACGAAGTTTAGGGGGGGTATATAGGAGTCAGCTTGTCGGTCGGTTGGTCGGTCGGTCGGTCGGTCGGTCCGTCGGTCGGTCCACATCATGGTTTCCAGACGATAACTGGAGTTTGGAATGAGGTATTGTAATCAAACTTGGTATATAGCAACCTTATGTGGAAACTCCGGTTGGTATCGCAATTTGGACCCCCTGGGGTCAAGGTCAAGGTCACCGTTACTAAAAAATAGAAAAAATGGTTTCCGGACAATAACTAGAGTTAGGAATGAGATATTATTATCAAACTTTGCGTATAGCAAGCTTATATGAAGACCTGGGTTGGTATTGCATTTAGGCCCCCTGGGGTCAAGATCAAGGTCATGGTTACTAAAAATAGAAAAAATGGTTTCCGGACAATAACTTGAGTAAGGAATGAGATATTGTAATCAAACTTGGTATATAGCAAGCTTATATGAAGAGACCTGGGTTGGTATATTGTATTTGACCCCCTGGGGTCAAGGTCAAGGTCACTGTTACTAAAAATAGAAAAATTGGTTTCCGGACAATAACTAGAGTTAGGAATGAGATATTGTTATCAAAACTTGGTGTATAGCAAGCTTATATAAAGACCTGGGTTGGTATTGCATTTGGACCCCCTGGGGTCAAGGTCAAGGTCACCGTTACTAAAAATAGAAAAATGGTTTCCGGACAATAACTTGAGATAGGAATGAGATATTGTAATCAAACTTAATCAAACTTGGTGTATAGCAAGCTTTTATGAAGACCTGGGTTGGTATTGTTTTTGGCCCCCTGGGGTCAAGGTCACCATTACTAAAAATAGAAAAATGGTTTCCGGACAATAACTAGAGTTAGGAATGAGATATTGTTAACAAACTTGGTGTATAGCAAGCTTATATGAAGACCTGGGTTGGTATTGCATTTGGACCCCCTGGGGTCAAGGTCAAGGTCACTATTCCTAAAAATAGAAAAATGGTTACCGGACAATAACTAGAGTTAGGAATGAGATATTGTAATCAAACTTTGTGAAAAGCAAGCTTATTTGGAGACCCAGTTGGGATTACAATTAATTGAAATATTTCTTTGTTCACAGTTGATACTTTGTGTTGAAAGTTTTCTTCAGACTACTTTTTTTTCAAAAAGTTGCTGGTGGGGGTATTAATCACCTTCAGTGATAGGTCTAGTTTGAAATTATAATGGGTCATACATTGTATTTCAAAAAAGTAAAAACTACAAAAATCAATCTCAAAACTGTTTTATTTGACATGTTAACATATTTGTAACTTAAACATGATCTTACTTTTTGCTTGAAAACAAATGCCTTTTTTTCTGTTATTATATGATGTAAAGTTTTAAAATTGATTGATTTATTTTATTTCTGCTGAAAGTCTGTATATAAATCCAATGTTTGTCAATATCTTTTTCAGGAAATTTGAAACCAATTTACAACCAAGGAAAAGTTTCGAGCTGCCAAGACCTAGTCCGTTGAAAACTCCCAGTTCAAATGTTGAGTTAAATAAAAATAGACATCGTGAATCTCATAGAAAAAGAAAGATAACATCAGTTCAGACTGGGGAGGGTGAGGATAATACCTTGGAAACAAACAATTTATATTTTGTGTCTTATTACGAGCCAGTCTCGGATGAGGTCGAAGTCGATTTACCATCAGAGTTATTAAAAAGTGCCCAGAATCAGAGTAGCAGTAAGTTTTGTATATGATTTTAAGCCCTTTTCTCAGTGTGACCACAGGTCAGATTTAGAGCTGTCGTTGATTCAGTGCAAAGCATATCAATAATAATGATATATTGATATCGGGTGACAAATATCAATGATACACCGATATATTGATAATTTTAAATTACCTATAGTATAATTACTTGTCTGTCATTCATTTTCATATACATTGTACCTGTTTAAATGATTACAGTTAAAAAGAGGTAAAAGCATAATATTTTGTAAGCTGAAAGCCAAAGTCAAGGAATAAGTGACACCAAATGTCCACTTACAGAAACCCTGTAAACATTAGTATGTTATTTTTGAAAAGAAGAAGATATATTATTGGTTATGAGGACATTTGACTCAAGACTGATTTGATCATAAATGTTTTGTATGTTTGCATGTTTTATACTGAGTAATCTATTATTTCAATCATGTGGCATTTATTTACAGTTGAGACACCATCGTTTAGAGTGAAGACTTTTACCAATTTATATGTGATAGAGGGAACTGAAGTGAGTGCATAGTTTAAGATATTTTATTCTTTATTCAAATGTATTAATAATATAAATGCAAATTGTTAGTTTGAAATATATTGTAAGTTGTTTTTTTAATGTATTAAGTAATGATACTTCTTGTAAATAATTAATATGATAATAAAGTTCAGGATTTAGATCTATTTTTTCACCATTATGATTTTGATATAGTTTCATGTATGTCTACAGTAGTACACTTGTAAAAATGACTTGACTTGAAAATTTATTTTAATCATGTCAAAAAGAATGTTACTATCTAGAATAGAGAATCTAAAATCTAAAATAAATGATAACTTAAGTTCATTTATTCAAAGATATATACTAGGCTCAGATTTGATATTAGAACATTTTGATAATTTGCATTAATTGCTACACAGTCTCTTTGTAAATAATTATAAGATATGTAAACATATTTTGACTTTACACAATGTGATATTGTTTAAAATTCTACACACTACTGTATAGGTGGTCAGAATGGAATATATAATGTCATTAAAAACTGGCAGTTAAAAAAAAATAAGAGAAAAAAAAAATTTCCTTTATTTTACTTACATAGTTTATTTCATTCTTTTATTCAAACTAGACATATTGATGAATATTCAGTAAGAATCATAGATTTCAATAAATTTCTGTGATTAAAATAATGTACTCACGAATGTCAATGAGAATAGTATATTTTTAAAGTTTTTGTTTATTCCTATATATCTAAATAAATTTGTTTGTTTGTTTTAGGATCATGAAGACGAGACATTTATGAGAAGACACCAGAAACCTGAGATTGAAGAGAAAAGAAGAAAAAGGTATGTTTACACACTTTATCAGATTTCTGTAAATTACAATCTAACCTTTCTCTAAAATAGTCAGCATCAGGGACTGAGTTAAAAAGACTTAAATGGCTGTTATTGACAGGTGACCACTTAATCATGATATTATTGGAATTTGAATACACATGTATTATGCTTATTGATAAAACATGACTTAAGTTTGTACAGAAATCTTTGTTTTAAATTTAATGATAAACTATGGTCATAAAAATCATAAAAAGTAAATATTTTCTTTGAATCTATGAAATTCTTACTCAAGTTTCTGAATAAATTGAATAAAATAATAAATAAACTATGTATGGAAAGCTGACAAGTAAAGTTAGTCCTTTCTTTAATTATATTGTGACCACCTACAGTGTGTAGAGAATAAAACATAACTCATCTACTTTGTGTGGAGTCAAATCATGTTTATTTTATGTTTACAAAGAGGCTGTGTAGCAATTATCTATATTTCTTAATATTAAATTTCTAGTCCTGTCAAGTTAAAATTGCTCAGTTGAGTCCCTTTAATGTGAAATGTTTGTTACTATATATTGGTGTAACTATATATAGATGTTACTATTTTTAGATGGGATGATCAGAGAATGCGTGAAGAGAGAATGAAGGAAAGGTTACGACAGAAACAAGAATCTCGCCACAAATATCGTAAACCGGAGGATCCAGTAGAGTCTTTCTATCCATGTCTAGATGATAGTAAGTTTTATAAAACTAACTGTGTGTTTGTAACATCACTTTTAATTAGATAATCCTAATATTTATATAAACTACATTGTATATACACCACTTCTGTCAATTCTTGGAGTAATTTCATTGTTTTCCCCTCTAACAAAGGAAGTTTGTTGTATTATAGATTCGATAAGTAACTTTGAATTCACTTAATTTCGTGGGCATGAAATTTTGTGGTTTTGTCATATTGTAAAACATTTTCATGGATTCTTAAATTTGTGAATTTAGACACACAGACCTACAATTATGTATATGTTATACAGTCTACTATTGGTTGATATACATTTATGGCATGACTATTCCAAAATAGCGAGAGCAATCAGCTCCACACTTTGGTTAAGTTTTTGCATTTAAGATGAAACTTCACACACTTATTTGAAAGAAATTAGGTTGATGCCTTTGTTGATGAATCTATCTATTGTTAAGCTGTAAACTTCCTTTACAGCAACCATAATTTTTTAGCAAGTCATTACTTGGGCTGTATAGACTTTATCTTTAAAATTGAAATGGTGGATATGAATTATGCAAAAAGTATCCTACCATTTTAAAGGAACTCTAATGAGGTCAAAAAGCCTTATATAGAATTTGAAATTTTAATGTAGGTCAAGTGTAGCACTCAAAATGAAGAAATCTGTAAAGGATAATAAAGAAATATACTAAGAATTAAATTGAAAATTGATATTTAATGTGATTTTTAGCTTGATTGCATTGCTTATCATTTTTGGGTCATTTTGCACAATAAAATTGATTATTCTGGAAATATCATATGGGTTGAAAGAATGATCTAAAAATCTGCACAGAAGTAAAGTTATTGAAGTTATTGGTTCAGACCTACATCTAATGGTAAACAAATCTCGGAAGAATATTTTAACTCCCTTTATGTCAAAAAAGCTCAGTGGATTCCTTTAAAAGGACCCTTGATATATTTTAAATTTATCACCTTAACTTGTAAAATGAAGACCCTAAGATGTTTGTGATGAATTAAAAATTTATGTTATGACTATATGTGTGAACATTATTGTTAAATTGTCTCCTAAACAATGTATTTTATTTTCCAGTTACACATATAGAAGTACAAGATAAAATACCTGTCACAGCTTTTGGCCAACCTATACCATTCTCAAAGACCGAGTAAGTTATAACAACATGTTTTACTGTATAATCTTGATAATTCCAATGTAAAAAAGTTAAGGAGTTTAAAATTCCTGACATATCATGTGAGGAAATGGTAGCAAAATGTACCAGGGAAGAATTTAATGACATGTTGGTTGATATTTACGCTAGTGGAATTTTAGTGATTTTTGTCTGTTTGCGAAATTCGCCAATATTTTCGGGTTCGTTAATTTAACAGTTATATAAAGTTCTCTCTTACTAGGCTTCAAGTTATTACATTATGTTTATGCACCCAGTACAGAGGAAGTCTAATCTGCACTTTTGTGCAATTAGACCATGCTCTACTTTGTTGTCTGTTTAGGATTGAAATATTAAAGTCAGTCCTTGTATTTTAAGTTTCAATTTCAATAAAAAATTTAAAATTCAAGAGGAGGTTCTCAATTCAAGGCAGAAAGTTAATTACACAAATACAAATTAAAAAGGTGATATGAGCGTATATTTTCAATTCTCATTCTGACACTGAAATTTTGTTCTTTGCAAAAGAAAAACTTAAAAAATGAAAATCTGATAAAATGCTTTTATTTGCAGATCGTTCACGTTACCATGGAGTCCTAAACCCACCTCTACTTCATCTCATCGTCATCGACAAAAGTGATACAAGTGATCATCTTAGGCCAAGCCATTTTTACATGATTCATCATTGGTTTACATGAATGTGTTTCCTCATCTATGTGTATAAATGAAAGAAAACGACTTTACCAAAGAAGTTTAATGACATGACAAAAGTGATGTTTAATTAATAGTAAGACAGGCAGTATTAGGAGAACAAAAAACAAAATTTGATTTGGGAAGTGTCGTAGATTTTTAAAATATGGAAACTACTAGGGTGATCTGTATATAATGTTCTCAACTGTTTGAAAATTATATTTTGATTTGCCTCAAGGTTATGAATACTAAGCATGAAAACATTCAGTTGAAAGAAATTTTCTTCTATTTTTGTTTGTACATTTTAGTTGAACTTGATACAGGAAAGATAATTCTGAGTTGACACATTTTATTTTTTAAAAAGTTACCTTTTTCTGTTTAAGATATTAACTTTTTGACGAATTGATAATACAGTGTTAAATATTTGTTAAATAGTATCTTCCCTTGATTATAATTTACTGTTTTAAAATGATACAAAAAATGCCTCTGTTTTTGTTCTTCAGTGATCAGATATATTGAATAATTGCATTTTGAAGAGGTTACCTCCCTTAGTTATTGATAAATATTTAACCTTAAGTTTGCACTACCTATCTTAGCAGTATGAATCAAGATCAACCAGTACATCTGTGCAGTGTTCAAATGGTCTACACTATTTGCCTTTCAGTCAGTACTTATTTTGAAATTTTCCATAAAAATGATTGAATGACAAACAAGTTCATTTAAGATATCTCTGGTGATTAGGATAAATAAATGGTTAGATAAACTGTACTTACAAATTTTGTTCTCGAATTGGAAGACTAAAGAGTAATGTTTTTTTAAGAGGTTATTTCCCTTGATTTTTTGCTCTGATGGTAAATGTATTTATGAGGTTACCTCCCTTTGATATGTATTTTCTTTGCAAATAATGTATTTTTGCACTGAAATGGTAAATTGAAATGTTTATACATTTTTCCTACCGTGCAGCAGACATTTTCACAAAAAATCTTACGATTTATCTTAAGTTTTTCACTTACGATAATCGTAAGTTAAATCTTAAGTCATTTTCACAAAGCCACTCGTAAGTTAAAATTTTATCTTAAGATAAAAAATTCACTTACGATAAATCTTACGACAAAAACATCCCTAGCAACGTTCATTTGATAGTGATGTGCATGCTCTATATTTGATTCCGGTTTTAAAATCAAGTAATCAAGAGCTTGAAATAACTATTGAACACAATCAAATTTCAATAAGAACAAAAAAATGATTCAAACTGATATAATTTATATCTTGATTGAAGATAATTATATATATCTAAAAGATTCAGAAAGAAGGTCTACTATGTTATTAATAAATAAAAAGGTACCACTAGTACATGCTGGCAATGAAATCGAACTCACCAATTGTACAAATTATAAGTTTTCAATAATACTAGTCTACAGTATAGTTCACATTATTTTAAACTATTCATAACCCTCTCCATCGTGACGTCATCAAGTCATGACGTCACAAATGTATATGTTGAAAAATAATTATAGCTCAATCTGTGTTATTTATAGCATACTGTTTGCTTAATATTTAGTTGTCCTCCAACTTTTTGTTTGTTTTTATTCAGTTTAGGTAAGAGATACATGATATTTTACCCTTAAGAGAGAAAAAATTACACTTACGAACGGGGAAGACCTATCGTAAAGTTACGACAGATTTTGCACTTAAGATTTTCTTAAGATTTTTTGTGAAAAGGAGATTTATCGTAAGATTTCTCTTAGGACAAAAAATTGTCGTAAGATTTTTTGTGAAAATGTCTGCAGAGCATTTTCTTTACCTCTTAATCTCAAGATTATGCAATGTTGAGGAAATAAAAAAAGAAGAACCAAGGAATTTAAAGTATAAAGATGTTCAGTGTTTTGTTACTAAATATAGAAGCTTATGTCATTGTCATTGTTTTAGTTCATTGTACAAAGGTCCATGGTCTATTTATAACTGTTATTTTTATATTTACAAAATGTCTCTGCTGGTAAGGTAAACACTTGTTCAGACATGATTCTGTTTAAGTTGAAATTTGTAAAAAAAAAATTTGCCAGGTAATGTTTTTAAAGCAGCATGCCATGTGAGCCATGCATATTTTCATCTAATTCAAAATGTATTTAAATGTGAAATATTGAGAATTGAAATAAGAAAATAATTCGCACATTGCAAACAACACCTACAATCCATGTAAATTAGCTGAAAGACTTGAGAAGTCAAAATTTGCAAAATTAGCTCTTAATGTATTATTTATACAGTAGAAATATGGTGATAGATATTTCAAAAAATTAGTCACAAATAGCATATAACTTGAATCTTGAATCTTTTTTACTTTTCTTAAAAAAAAAATTTCACCTAAAGGCATGCAGCTTTGAATTAAAGTTAAAACCAGGCATATCTCTTAATTTACGCAATAGCCAGTTTGCTATTGTGTTTGCGTTTTTTGCTCAATATGGCTTTAATTTTGGTGGATTTTGTCAAGTAGCATCAAATTTCAGAAGAAAAAGATAAAAAATTATGTACTATATAATATTTTGTGCATGCTTAGGCAGGGAATATTTAAGTAGGTTAAGAAAATTGTTAAATTGTTGATATGAAGTAAGTTTATAGAACATTCTTGTTTGGTAGCAATCTTATTATGTTTAGTTATTTGTGTACATGAATATCATGCATAATGAAAACTTAAAAAAGTGAATTGATATATAATTATCAAGGTGTTAAGATGCATAGAAACTTGTACATTAAAATACATAATACATGTATTGTGGAAATGAATAATTATTTTTCCTATAACTGTTAAACTTTAAGGATGAAAAAAAGATACAACATTTTTTTCCAGTATTTGTTAAATAGGCAGTAAGAATCTGATGCGATTTGAACAGAATTTTCAAAATTTTGGTCGACATTTTAACGATTCATATTTTCACGTTTCATATTGAGTTTCACTTGATCATACCAGGTGTATGCATGGATGTTTGTGTGAAAATCATTTAATTGTCACATCTCATTCTTGTATGAAAGTACTGTTTATTGTTGTTTTACTAAAGATTCTTACATATCTCTATTATTCTATTTGTTCATTGTTTCGCTTTAGCAATGTGAATTTTTTTTTTAAAAATCATTAAAATTGATGACCTGTGAAACTGAGTTGGTGTAAATTAAAAGTGTTTCTAAGGAAATTTAAAGCGTTTCTTAGGTAATTTAAAGTGTTTCAAAGGTAATTTAAAGACAAAGTGTTTTTCGGAAATTTAAAGTGTTTTTAAGGTAATTTAAAGTGTATAAGATAATTATTTAAAGAGTTTCCATGATAATTTTTTAAAGCGTTTCTAAGGTAAATTAAAGTGTTTTTAAGGAAATTTAAAGTGTTTCTAAGGTAAATGATTTCATTTTATATAGATCTCTAAAATTTTTAAGAATTATTTTTGCGGATCTTCTTTCCTTCTGATTAATGTTGTTTTACTTGTTTATTATCTGCTGAACTGTCTTTCGAATATTTGCTTGAATGCTGTTACATGTATAAATGTAGCAAGTTTGAAAGATTTTCATTTTTCTATAGAAACAAATGTACATTGTTTGATATTTGAGCCACGTCATGACAAAACCAACATAGTGGGTTTGCGACCAGCATGGATCCAGACCAGCCTGCGCATCCACGCAGTCTGATCAGAGGATCCATGCTATTCGCTTACAAACCCTATAACAAGTAGAGAAACTGATAGCGACCAGTATGGATCCTGATCAGACTGCCCGAATGCGCAGGCTGGTCTGGATCCATGCTGGTCACAAACGCACTAGGTTAGTTTTGTCGTGACGCGGCTCAATTTTTTTTCTCTTGTATTTTTATGAATCAATATGTCAGTTTTGTTGTGTACAAATATGACAATAAAGTTGTTGACTGTTATTTTGGCATTATTATACATTAAAAAAAGATGAAGAGTAAAAAAAATATACCATCAAACCTGTGAAATGTGATTTCATCATTTGCTCAAAATTTACTGCCAAACATCATGTTGAGATTAGGTTAATTTTAAATTATGGAATACCAATCTAATGAATTCATCGATTGCTTAACCCTGAAGAAAGTGTAACAACTTACTTTTGTTTATGAAATATTATAATAAGTAAATGAAAAAATATACGAGTTGACCATGGGACGTGTTGACTCAAAATCCCTTTGTTGCCTTCTATCAAATGTTATGGCATCCTTGTCCGGGTACTTAAGGTCATTGATTTCAAATCACCTTGCCCCTAACCGCTATAGGTTAGAATCCTGCAAGGGGACTTTGGGTTCTTTCATGTGAGAAAGCTTTCCTGATTTACGCTGTTATTATTGAAATTACAGTTTCAGTTTTTATTAAACCAAAGAATATAATATACAACTGGTTATAACAAACAAATGAACAGAAAAATAACAGTCATTTATGGTTCTTTATTTACTGCACTTATGTAAGAAAAAGCAGATTTATTGGCAAGACCCACTTGTTGGCGTTGGATCACCTTAAGTAATGCTTTTGTTTAAAGTCAGTAACTTCAATACTAATAAAGCTACATGTAATTTTTTGAAAATTTTGTTGTTGATGCACCTCTACGAGTTCTACATGTCAAACCCATTTTAATATAAAAAGGTCAAAGGTCAAGGTCATTTAAGTTTGCCTTGGACCTGTAATAACAAAACATAAAATTGGTCATTTAATCAAAGTGCATTGACCTTTAAACTTTTTATATGGATGCATCTTGATGAGTTTTATCTGTCAAACCAATTCAAAGGTCAAAAGATCTTATGTCAAAGTCACTGCAGCCTGTTATAATTAAACATAAAAATTTCCATGAAATGAATATATATAGATATATTGCCAAATTGATTTGTAAGATCGTCCTGAACTTAATTGTAACTGATTGATAAAACGATTAATTACCTCATGTGCACGTTATTTCAATCATATCATTTGTTCGCCATTTATTGCACTAATTTATTCAAATCTCTTTATGTTTGGGCAACTGTTCAAAGTTTCAAACATGTATAAAAATGCACAGGGGATTCTCTCAAATTTTTCTTTTACGTCATAAAAGGGCGACAACTTGAATCCGATAGGATAAGTTTTCAACTTTTTAAACATTTATGTAAATTTCAAAGTTTTTTTCTTTACGAAAATTGTAATGTTATTTTACCCCCCTGACTTTCCTATGTTTTTGCCAAAATTTGTTTCGGATTTTTATGCAGTCTTCGTCGAGGTATTATTTCCGTCGTGGTTTCTCGTGTGTCAAAAATGCACGTGAAGAAAATGTTAAGAATGTATACAGAGAACCCCCTGTGGTTTTAACCATGTTTTAAAGTTAGGAGATATTAAATATAAACGATCATTTATCACTTCACAATGTAACGTTGTTTAACAATAGATAGGTGTATGTTTGTATATGCATATATTGCGCATACATATTGTCAGAGATTTATCTAACGATCAGCTTCGTTTTCGTTCATAATTGTAGCTTGAAAAAAGTTAGAAAATGAACTCAAATTTAATCAAAGCGGTTTTTGTAGTGTTTTATTTACATTTTGTTACTGGTGTTAAAACTACTGTTGGATTAATACATGGAAAAGATGAAGATGTAAATGTGTTTGGAGAACATTCCCGTGTATCAAAGTATCTTGGAATACCATATGCAGAACCCCCCGTCGGGGAATTACGTTTTCAAAAGCCCGTACCGAAAACACCACTCCAAGAGCCGCTAAACGCCGTCCAATACGGAAATGCGTGTCTCCAAGTCGATTTAGGGATGCAACCTAAAGGCGATACAAGTTACTCGGAGGATTGTCTTTATCTGAATATATATGTCCCGAAGAAACCTGAGCAAGGCGAGAAACAAGCGGTTATGGTCTGGTTTCATGGTGGCGGATTTATTTTTGGATCAGCTGATATCTATCCGGCGGACCATCTTGCTGTATACGGAAACGTTGTTGTAGTAACTGTTAACTATAGACTGACAGTTTTTGGATTCCTAAGCACCGGGGATGAACACGCTCCTGGCAATTACGGCCTTTGGGACCAGCGGATGGCATTAGACTGGGTTAACAAGAACATTGAAGGATTTGGCGGGGATCCAGCAAGGGTTACTATATTTGGAGAATCAGCCGGTGCTGCTAGTGTGATTTATCAAGGACTTTATCCGGATAATCGAGGCTTGTTTCAGAGATTGGTGGCTCAGTCCGGTTCCGCGGGTTCCTGGTGGGCAAGTAACGACAATTATAAAGAAGACACGGAGAAGCTTGCGAAATTAGCTGGTTGTGCAACAGAGTCTTCTAGAAACATTGTAACTTGCTTAAAGGCTATCCCAGGTGAAACATTGCTTGGAATTGTAGACAATCTTGAAAATGGCTTCAAATCAATGCCTTTATCTTTTATACCAAGGTTTGATAAGGACTTTGTTAAAATTCCAAGTAAGCAAACATTTGTCCCTGGCAATGAAATACCAATGGAGTCACGTGACTTTTTCAGGTCTCTAGATATAATGGTTGGAATGAACTGCGGAGAAGGAACCGTGTCGTTAAGTCCTTTCTTTGGAGTACAAGATCCCTCTAGTTTCTTACCGAATAAGACCGACTTCAAGGACTTGATCGTACCAGCAATACAAAAGCTGGCATTTTCGGGAAACACTGACCAAATTGTCAGGGACGCTATAATTGCAGAATATACGAACTGGGAAAACCCTGATAATGAATATATTATAAGAGATGAGTTTCTAGCAATGCATTTAGATTTTTCATTTACGGACCCACTTTACAGAGCTTTGGATTATCACTCTGAATCAACCAGTAATACTTACATGTACTACTTTGATGAGGTTACCACCAACCATTTGTTTGGAAATGTCCCATGGTATAACAAGCTGGGACATGGTGACGAGATTCCTTTTATTTTCGGATTTAAAAATGCGGACCATGTACACGACTGGAAGTTTTATGCCAAGGAATGGGAAGCCCAGCTGTCTAAAAGTGTTATGAAATTGTGGGCAAACTTTGCAAAAACAGGGTATGTTATAGTGAATTTTTTTATTTCGATTTTTCAGGCTTCATAAAGTATAATTTTTCTGAAATCGACTTTATATATATTTTTTGAGTGCGGTTGATATAATTGTTAGACTGCCTTTTTTTCTCCCCACCTCCCCAGTCTCGGAAACCCTTTTTATGATACATGTACCACGCATGCTAGAATAATTGAATAATTTCACGATTTACCCCCCCCCCCCCCCCCCTCCCCCACTCACCAAAAAAAACCCACCAAAAAACCGAACTTATCTTCTGTTCCAAACGAGTGCGAATTAGACAGGTTCAACTGTATTATCATTATTTAATTTTTGCCTTATATAATTTGTGTGTGTAATTTTCGTTTATAACATTTTTCTCTGTGATAGCTATAAATAGAAAGTAATTGCTTTTTTACAGGAACACAAACCTACCTGACAACCTTGACCTTGACTGGTTGCCGTATACGAGGAGGCATCAACATTACTTGCAAATATCACGTGATATGACGTCATTGAACGTAAAACAACGCTGGAATACGCGTAGAGCTAATTTCTGGGGAAATCTACTTCCAAGCATTGTAAAAGCATCACAATGTGCACGTGACACTAAGGATTCCGGACAACAAAGTTGTCCAGCAACGGGAAAATGTCCTCCATAGATTGTGCAGGTCTACCCAATCTTTATCGAATAATACATCACATATCGGACTTACCCTGTTATCTAGAACATTTAATGCTTTTTATATCGTATAAATAAAGCTTTCATCGATAGAAACAATATCGATGAATCATCGATATTTTTTATTAATCAATATTCGATACACATTTGAAAAACCGATAATTATGACTAATTAATGTAGTCTTATGTCAATTAGGGGTGAAACTAATTCTGAACAAAAAAGAAAAAAAACAAACAAAAAAAACCCACACACACGCACGCACACACACACCCTCGCACACACAAACACACACAGAAAACACACACAAAATAAAAACACACACAAAAGAACGCCCAAGAATTTTCAGCAATTTTATGGAAAATTATTTAAAATGGTTGATTGATTATATTTTTTATATACATGTAGGAAAAGCTGGATGAATGTTAGAGAACTAAGAGAGCCGTCAAAGCTGTAACTGTCGTCTGCAAAGGCTTTAACATTGTAAAACTTTTATTTCCAAAAAAATTTAACGCTTAAGATTTTGTAAACTCAAACAGTTATGGGGGCATTTTAAAAAGAAAAAGGCTAATGTTTCTAAGGATATTACTCTTGAAGAGTTTATTATTATTATTATTATTATTATTATTAATTTTATTATTATTATTATTTTGAAATTTATCTAATAGTAAATTCAGTTCCAACAATAATGAATGTAATGATTTTTGTAATGAGCATGCTTTTAACTGTGATGATTGTACCGTACCTATGATTAATTGAATGTACCTATGAATAATTGAATGTACCTATGAAGAATTGAATGAACCTATGAAGAATTGAATGTACCTGTGAAGAATTAAATGTACTTATGAAGAATTGAATGTACCTATGAAGAATTGAATGAACCTATGAAGAATTGAATGTACCTATAGGTATTGAATGTACCTATGAAGAATTGAATGTACCTATCACATATTTCATTGAGACGCTTACCCTAACCTTATTATATGTTATCATTTGTGTGATATTTTAATGCAATTTTGTACTCTGGATTTTATCCAGATAAACGGAAACCCTATACTATCTACGTGACATCTTAATGTAACCATACCGACTTTGGACGGATTTTAGCTATACCGGAAGTTCTATACAGGAAGTTGAGAATAATCATTATTTGGATTGTTTCTTGTTTGTTCATTACGTTTCAATGTGTTCAGTTGTTTATCCCAGAAGCTTTGCTTTCATTGGTCGAAAATAGTTTGTGTATTGTTGTACATGATTGTTTTTTACTGTTGAGCGGGAGTTCTGAGATACCTCAGTTTGGTCACGGTTGTTCTGAGGGTGAACATCATTGATAATGGTATAGCTGGTTGTTTCTTCGTATTGTGGATCTCCATGGAACTCTGATAGTTTGTAACTTTTGGTTTTATTCTATTTTTAATATTTGCTTAGTTGAACTGTGCATTAATTACTCTTTATTTGCCATTTTGATAAATTATTTGTTTCAATAATTTATTGTAAATTTTGATATTTACTTATATGGAGTTTTGTAAAATTAGAATGGCGACATTGGGTAATATTCATTAACTCATTATTTAATTAACTTGAAATAATATGCACATTATTTCTGTCTGTACACTTTATTGATATTTTAACTTTGCAGCAATCTAGACTAATATCACATGTGTGGAGGTTTGTTGTAATGTGAGGGAAACAGTCAATACCATATATTGGTAAGTTTATATTCTATTGTATTGATTTATGTTTGTCATAAGATGGTCATTATTCTAAGATGTCGTTGAATTGCTGTCATGTGAATTTATTGCATATATCTGAATGCAGGAATTAGACTGAAATGCTGTATAAAATGCATTGTAATGTAATTCACTTGTTTGAATCTTTTTTTCTTATTAATATTATATGTTTTAGGTTGTCATTACATTACTACCGATGTATCTAAAGTTTGATTAAATGGAGATGAACCTACACGAACTTGGTTTTCTTTGTCACATGTAAAACAAGGTCCAAGTTTACATTAACAATTTGTGTATTTATATTGTAGTGATGATATAGTATGTACAAAATCCAAAATAAAATTATGTTATATTCTGTTTAAAATTTATTTGATATGTGTGCTGATCTATGTGAGGAACAAAATACAGTGAAACCTCAACAGATCGCCCTTCTGGTAGAGCAATTACTCCTTAACAACAACAGTATCATTACTTCCCAAAATATGGCTTCACAATGAATTTAACTGTCTCAAGAGCCCACTTGTCTGCCACGTCCAAGAACTTTGTGTTTCACAAAGGGTGACCTTCTGCAGAGGTTGTATTGGCCTTGAGGTTATAAAACTTTTTTTTCTTTGTTCTATCTCAGATCTCTGGATTCTTATCGGTCAGTGAATATTCTATGGCAGTTTCTGACCAATCAAATTATTATTATTATTATATACCAAACTTCTTAAGCACCTTTTTCATGCACATTGACACGTTCAAAAGTACTGTACAGTATAACCAAAGAGATGATACAATATTTAAAAGAAAAAGAACAACAAAAGAAACAAATTAAAACATCAATATCGCTCAAGTCACACAATCAAATCAAATGTAGTTTAAAAAAGTTAAAAAGACCCACATAAATAATAAAATTCAGGTAACAACCTTAAAAATAATCAGTCCAAATAAAACCTCTTAAATAAGTGAGTTTTAAGTGCTCTCTTAAACACTGATAGATTTTCACAGCTTTTAAGCGTTCTAAGTAGGGCATTCCAGAGTTTAGGGGCTGCCGTCATAAAAATATCCGAGATCTGAGGTTGAGCCTAGAGAATTTGTTTAAAACCTCGGACCCAGGTGTTTTTTCACAATGAAGAAAGCCAAGGTTAAGTTTTTGTACGGATAATTTAGAACATTTTAGGAAAAGTAGCAAATAAAGTCCGTCAATTCAAATTAAAACATGATTTTTATTTTGAACATTGACGAAGAAAAAGCAACACCTTTTTGCATGATATTCATGACTTGTCAGAGTGGGAAAGGAAAATAAAAACGAGAGAACCCCCTGTGGTATTAACCATGTTTTAAAGTTTAGAGATATTAAATATAAACGATCCTTTATCACTTCACATTGTAACGTTGTTTAACAATAGATAGGTGTATGTATGTATATGCATATATTGCGCATACATATAGTCAGAGATTTATCTAACGGTCAGCTTCGTTTTCGTTCATAAGTGTAGCTTGAAAAAAAAGTTAGAAAATGAACTCAAATTTATTCAAAGCGGTTTTTGTAGTGTTTTATTTACATTTTGTTTTAAGTGATATCACTTGTGTTAAAACTACAGTTGGATTAATACATGGAAAAGATGAAGATGTAAATGTGTTTGGAGAACATTCCCGTGTATCAAAGTATCTTGGTATACCATATGCAGAATCCCCTGTCGGGGAATTACGTTTTCAAAAGCCCGTTCCGAAAACACCACTCCAAGAGCCGCTAAACGCCGTCCAATACGGAAATGCGTGTCTCCAAGTCGATATAGGGATGCAACCTAAAGGCGATACAAGTTACTCGGAGGATTGTCTTTATTTGAATATATATGCACCGAAGAAACCTGAGCAAGGCGAGAAACTCGCGGTTATGGTTTGGTTTCATGGTGGCGGATTTATTGTTGGATCAGCGGATATCTATCCGGCGGACCATCTTGCTGTATACGGAGATGTTGTTGTAGTAACTGTTAACTATAGACTGACAGTTTTTGGATTCCTAAGCACCGGGGATGAACACGCTCCTGGCAATTACGGTCTGTGGGACCAGCGGATGGCGTTAGACTGGGTCAACAAGAACATTGAAGGATTTGGCGGAGATCCAGCAAGGGTTACTATATTTGGAGAATCAGCCGGTGCTGCTAGTGTGATTTATCAAGGACTTTATCCGGATAATCGAGGCTTGTTTCAGAGATTGGTGGCCCAGTCCGGTTCCGCGGGTTCCTGGTGGGCAAGTAACGATAATTACAAAGAAGACACCGAGAAACTTGCGAAATTAGCTGGTTGTGCAACGGGGTCTTCTAGAAACATTTTAACTTGCTTAAAGGCTATCCCAGGTGAAACATTACTTGGGATTGTTGACAATCTTGAAAATGGCTTTAAAGCAGTCCCTATACCTTTTATACCAAGATTTGATAAGGACTTTGTAAAACTTCTAAGTAAACAAACATTTGTCCCTGGCAATGAATTACCAGTGGAGTCACGTGACTTTTTCAGGTCATTAGATATAATGGTTGGAATGAACTGCGGAGAAGGTAGCTTGTCGTTAAGTCCTTTCTTTGGAGTAACAGATCCCCCTAGTTTCTTACCGAATAAGACCGACTTCAAGGACTTGATCGTACCAGCAATACAAAACCTTGCATTTCCGGGAAACACTGACCAAATTGTCCGGGACGCCATAATTGCAGAATACACGAGCTGGGAAAACCCTGATAATGAATATCTAATTAGAGATGAGTTTCTAGCAATGCATTCAGATTTTACATTTACGGACCCACTATACAGAGCTTTGGATTATCACTCTGAATCAACCAGTAATACTTACATGTACTACTTTGATGAGGTTACCACCAACCATTTGTTTGGAAATGTCCCATGGTATAACAAGCTGGGGCATGGTGACGAGATTCCTTTTATTTTCGGATTTAAAAATGCGGACCATGTACACGACTGGAAGTTTTATGCCAAGGAATGGGAAGCCCAGCTGTCTAAAAGTGTTATGAAATTGTGGGCAAACTTTGCAAAAACAGGGTATGTTTAAGTGGATTTTTTATTTCGATTTTTCAGGCTTCATAAAGTATAATTTTTCTGAAATCGACTAAATATGGATATTTTTTTTGTGTGCGGTTGATATCATTTTTAGACTGCCTATTTTTCTCTTTCCACCTCCCCAGTCTCGGAAAGCATTTTTATGATACATGTATCACGCATGCGTGAATAATTAAATAATTTCACGATTTATCCCCCAATTTCAAATATAGAGAGGACATCAGAGGTTATTAAGACTTTATTTATTTATAACTCTTCTTGCAACATTATTGAATTTTTAAATTTTATGTACTTTCTTATTCGGAACTCTTTCTAATCCGAACTATTCTTCTGGTCCGAACGAGTGCTGATTATACAGGTTTCACTGTATTATTGTTGTATAATTTATGCCTTATATAACTTGTGTGTAATTTTCGTTTATCACATTTTTCTCTGTGATATCTATAAATAGAAAGTAATTGCTTTTTTACAGGAACACAAACCTACCGGACGACCTTGACCTTGATTGGTTGCCGTATACGAGGAGGCATCAACATTACTTGCAAATATCACGTGATATGACGTCATTGAACGTAAAACAACGCTGGAATACTCGTAGAGCCAATTTCTGGGGAAATCTACTTCCAAGCATTGTAAAAGCATCACAATGTGCACGTGACACTAAGGATTCTGGACAACAAAGTTGTCCAGCAACGGGAAAATGTCCTCCATAGATTGTGCAGGCCTACTCTACTCAATCTTTATCGAATAATACATCACATATCGGACTAACCCTGTTATCCAGAATATTTTAGTGCTTTTGATATCGTGTAAATAGAGCTTTCATCGGTAGAAACAATATCGATGAATCATCCATATTTTTTGTAAATCAATATTCAATACACATTTGAAAAATAGATAATTATGACTAATTAATGTAGTTTAATATCTATTAGGGGTGAAACTAATTGTGAACAAAAAAATAACAAAAAACAAAAAAAACAAAAAAAACAAAAAAAAACACGCACACACAACACCCGAACGTCTTATTCTGTGAAAAACCCTTCAGCAACGTTATGGAAAATTATTTTATATGGTTTATAGATTATAAAAGTTTTATCTAATAACAAATTCAGTTCCAACAATAATAAATTTAATGATTTTTTGTAATTAGCACGATTTTAACTGTGATGATTGTACCTATGAAGATTTTTTTTAAATGTACCTTTCACATGTGAAGAGATTTAGAAAGTTGTAATTAAGTCGC